ATACTGTGTGAAGCCTCTTGGACAAGTCGTTGCCACCCTTAAGATTTAACCTCTGCTCCTCATACTTTCTCACACTGGTGATTAACTTCCAGTCTGAACTTTGGAGGGACACATTCAGACCATGACAGGAGTATCTAAGAAGAGAGTGCCTTCGACTTGAAGGCAGAAAGAGACTAGGAAGATGCCAGCAGCTGGCCACATCATCCTCAGACAGGCAGTGAGTTCTCTCTTGTACAGGGACCACATTATGTCTAAACATACCACAAACACACATGCTTATTACATTCTAATAAGCATTTAATGATGTATATCTAAAATAATTTATATTTCTATGTAGTTATTAAAACATATCAAAATTAAAATATATAATAAAACAGTTCCAACACCCCAGATGCCCCCTTTTATCTTCTCCTAGATAGTATTAACCAGAAATAACCATTATTTCAACTTTCTCACTTAGATCAGCTTTGTGAGATCTAGTTTTGTACAACTGAAATCATAGGTACATACCCCTTCGGCCTGGATTTTTTAAAAACATAATTCTTTATTGATTCTTTGAAAATTTCATATCATGCATCCCAATCCTGCTCAACTCCCAATCCTCCCATATCTGCCTCCCCACCCATGCAACATGCTCCCTTAAATTAATTAAAAACAAAACAAACAAGAAAATTCCTCAATCTTCCATCATCCCATTGCCTCTCCATTTATCCTAGCGGCATTGGGAACTGCAATGTGTCAGGCAGCATAACCTTCTGTTCAATCAGTTCCATCCACAAAATGTTCCTTGCAGTGAGTCATTGGTCTGGCTCAAGACCTCTGGCACACCACCATCACTGGGCCCTCACTGAAACTCCTCTCGGATCCCCTGCTGTTTCCCAGAGTCATGGAGATTCTGCAGTTACCATTCTTCAGGATCAGTCCTGTCATGCACTCCAGCAGGTCAAAGATGGGGTAGATGTTATGGTGGGCCAACCTAAGGTTCAGGATTGTAGGTCTGGCTGGTGAGGGTTGGAGTGAGGCGTGGGGCCATCTCTTCTCATTGCATGATGGGGGGAGTGGGGAGGGTGTTCTCCCATGGAGGGTGGACCAGCTCTCCTAGGCCCACGGGGCCATCTCTGTGAGTGTGGGGAAGGTGGCAGTTCTCCTGCCGCAATGTCCAGTGAGAGGGAGCCCTTGGATTTCAGCATGCATGGTTTCTATTACCTCCTATGCTTACATTGGCCTTGGACATAATCACAGACCCCAGCTGCAGTAGGAATATGGTCCCAGACATGGCCCACAGCAGCAGCTGAGGCCTGAACAACACAAAGGCCCTGTGTGGCAGTATAGACCAATCAGGCTGGCATGGCCCCAGTAGCAGCACAGCCATCAGACACTAACGTGGCCACAGGTTGTGGCCCAGACCCCTGGCAGTCACGTGGCCTTTGGTGGTACCATGGACATCAACACAGAACTTAGCTGTGGTAGGACCAGAGACCTCGACATGGTCCTTGGTAGCAGCCCAGGCTTGGGTGTCACCATGGCCCCACGCCACTCAGATTGTCATGGCCCCTGTGGCAGCATTTGGCCTGGATTCTTTAGTTCCTCATGTCTTTGAGATTCATCCTGCTTTTATCTTTTTTTTTTCATTCTAATGTCCCTTTAAAACTTCTTGTAGCCAGGCAGTGGTGGCTTTAATCCCTTTAATCCCACACCTTTAATTCTAGCACTTGGGAGGCAGAGGCGGATCTCTGTGAGTTTGAGGTCAGCCTGGTCTACAGAGCAAGTGCCAGAACAAACTCCAAAGCTACACAGAGAAACTGTCTCAAAAAAAAAAGAAAGAAAAGAAAAAGAAAAAAGAAAATGAGATGTAGGCTGCCTTTCTTAAAAGGAGGAGAAAGAGGAAGAAACAAAAAAGATTAATAACATGGAGGCAGAGACAGACAGATCTCTGTGAGATCGAGTCCTGCCTGGTCTACAGAGGGATTTCGAGGCCAGTCAAGCAACCCTATTCCAAAAAAACCCAAACTAAATCCAAACCAAAATAAAACAAAAAACCTTGTGTGCTATTCAATTGCATAAATATGACTTCATTCACCTACCCGTTCTATTCTTTTAAAACTTTTCTTAGATTTTAAATTAATTTTATGTGTATGGGTGTTTTGCCTGCATGTATGTCTGTGTATCATATGAGTGTCTGATACCTGTAGTCACAGGAAGATGTTGAGTCCCCTGGAACTGGAGTCTGATGAGCCGTCTCTCCAGCCCCAACCCATTCTGATCATTTCCAGTCTCAAGAGTAAAGTTGAGGAAAGCATATTTATCTATGTCTCACGGAGGATATGCACAGTCATTTCTCCTGCATATGGGTCTGGAAATGGAGCTACTGAATCAGAAGCTCCGCTTCTTTTAACAGAATAAGCAATAACCATTTTCCAAGTGGTTGCTCTAGTTTATATACCCACCAGCATGGACTCGGTGCTGATTCAGCTGCTGTTCCTGAGGCCCTCCCAACCCTGACAGCTTTCTCATTAATCATCCAAAGGTGCTGCCACCTGTTGGCTGGTGCAGGTCAGCAGGCCACCTTGCCTTAACACCCAGCGTATTTATTGAATGAAGTAATAAATTACCACTGCCTGGCTAGGAGTAGTAATGAAATAACTGATAGGTCACTTCACATTTGTGAAGTCCTTCCTATGATCATTATTATATTTAAAAAACCAATTTTACTAGGGTGAAATTTTTTAATACTCATATAAAACACTAACACTGAGAGCTCAGTGATCCTTCCCCATCAACCACTCTACCCCACAGTTCTTGGTACACGCTGACATACTTTCTGTCATAATTTAGTTTTATGTTTTCTTGAGTGTTAGCGATATAGGGTCAGAGAACATACTCCTTTGTCCTTGCTTTCTTTGCTCAGAATAATATTTTTGAGATTCATCCATATTAGAATGTGTCAGTAATGAAGCTGAGCCGAATTTCATTGTGTAGATATATCACAACTTTTTTTAATCTGTGCTTTGAATTATTTCTAGTTTTTAGTTAGTAAGAATAAAACTACATGCATTTGTGGGCCCAATTTAATCTTTCAAAAATATTTTTAAGGCAGCATCTTATATACCATGGATATGCATATTTACTAATTACAAGATAAATTTAAAAATAAAGTTGCTATGAACATTCATGGCTTTTTGTGAAAAAGTACTCCTTTTAAATATTATGTTTAGATTTATTTACTTTACGTACATAAGTATTTTGCTTGAATGTAGTCTGGTGTGTGGCTGATGTCCTAAGATGTTAGCAGAGAACATCAAAACCAGAATTTAAGAATTGTGAGCCACTAGGTGGATACTGGGAATCCCTCCAGAGTCCTCTGCAGGAACCAAGTGCTCTTAGCCACTGAGCCATCTCTCCAGCCCTGGGGGAAAAAGTATTTACTCTTAAAAGCACTTCTTGCCTTTTAGGTTCATTAACATTCTTTTTGAGCTTTGCGAAATCTGGGAGATTTGACAGGTGAGGAAGGACCTGGCATGTGTGAGAATAAGTAAACATTTCTCAACTGATGAACAAGTATACAATAGTGTAATTACCCACCTGAAAGATGATTTGTCTAAGTCTCATCACGGTGCATTTGTGATGGACCATCCAAGCCTAAGCCTCAGTCTAGAGCTTCCCTAGGAGATGACATGGAACAAAAGCCCTGGACCCATGCCTCTGAGGGGCTGGTGTGGAGAAAATCCTAACGCTGGGGCTTGAGACGGTAAGAAGGGGAGGAGGAGATGACAGTCGTAGCTGGAACAAGGAAGGTGAAAGGTCCAGGTATTCATGATGGACAGTAATGCTAAGCACAGCCTATTTAGCTGGACACTGACTAGTTCTAGTAGCTAGCATCCGCATTGTTGTGACCTTGATATGAACTTCCTGAACCAGCAGCATTAGTGTTACTAGGGAGTCTTCCTTGAGTTTGTGTACAGGTGACACCACTCTGGACTGGATCACAATGAACTTTTTTTTTCTCTGTGACAAGGTTTCTCTTTGTATCCCTGACTGTCCTGGAATATGCTCTGAAGATCAAGTTGGCCTCAAATTCAGAGCTCTGCGTGCCTCTGCTTATGTCTCCTGAGTGCTGGGATTAAAGGCATTCATCACTACGCTCAGCTCACAATGAACTCTGAACAAGATATTCAGGAGACCTGTGTTTGTGTTTGTATGGAGAAGCATTGCACTATGACAGATGTATGCTTCCTGGGGTTGTTCAAAATGTGCTGGCCTAGTCCTCTTACCTCAGCCTCCAGAATGCTGGCTTCCCGGCATGTGTTACTATTTGCTGCTCTAACGTTTCTTATTAGTAGAATCATACTACAGTATATAATTTTGTCAAGACCTGCTACTTTGACGCAGCAGGAATTTTGAATTTCATCCAAGTTCTAGACTCCCCTATTAGTTTATTTTTATCACTGCTGAGTTCAAACTTTTAAAAGGACAGAAGGAGGCAATTAAAATATCACATATTTAATTACAACGTTAAACCTGTCTAAAGATATAAGTAAAAATACATCATCTGGTTCGTGGACAATTCAAACACTACCACACTTAGGTGTACCTTGGGGAGTCATATAAGGTCATGTTTTAGTTTGTGAAAATGAACACAATCAGATCATCTCAAGAGCACGTTCTGGCCTCACTTCCTATCTCTGATTTATTCCTAATTAATCCAGTTGGCGACGGGAGATGCTACTGATTGTTTCTTTCCGCCTACCTGACACTTAGTGGATGAAAGGTTCTAAAGCGCATGCTCCTTTTAAGCAAAACCGGAACCGTCTGCAACAACCTCACCCGCGTTGCCACCTCTCCTAGTAGGCGTAGAGAAGCCCGGCGTCGACCTGGCACCTGCTTCTTCTCGCCCAATCCCACGGGACACCGTTTAGGCCCCGCCCACCTGCGGTGGCCTTGAGCCCCGCCCTCTCCGGAGGGAGCGCCTTGGGGTCGAGTGCGCCTGCGCAATGCCGCCAGTGGGCGGAGCGAGGACGCGAGGAGGGGCGGCCGCGAGGGCTCCGAAGCGAAGCTGTTCAGCGCTAGCAGGCGTCCTGGCCGGTTTGAGGGAGTAGAGGCTCTGTCTTCCCTTCCTCCGCCCTCGAAAGTCAACTTCACCGCTCCGCCCGCGGGGTCTGCAGGCGGCGCGGGCCGGCGTCAGGGCTTGTCTGCTTCCTCCGGCGTGGGGCCTGGGCGCCATGGACGCGACGGCTCTGGAGCGGGACGCCGTGCAGTTCGCGCGGCTGGCGGTGCAGCGCGACCACGAAGGCCGCTACTCTGAGGCGGTGTTTTACTACAAGGTAGGGCCAGGCGTCGGGAGGGCTCGGGCCGGCTCCCCGGAGCGAGCGCTGGCGGAGCCCGAGGCGGAGGGGCGGGGTCCTGCTGCCCAGGCCGCGTTCTGGCTGGCAGCTGCCCTCCGCTCGGCAGGCGGCGGGCGGGTAGTGGATGTTCTCTTCGCTGTACCTTGGCCCTGCTGGGTGGCCAGCCGTGGATGATCTGTCATACTATGCCAAGAGGGCATGTTCGATGTAGAAAAGAAAATGTAAATTAGAAAAGAAATTCATCTCTTACTCCAGCATTTGATGTATGTGTTAATGGTGGTTTTTCTAAACGTTTGTGTACACGGATTTTTCACCCCGAAACTTGAATCCTATCGTTTATACTATTTTGCCACCTCACTTCTGCATTGTTCTAGTTAATATTTTGTTGCTTGCATGTGCCACACTTGCAGCCTATTCCGTAGTTTGGTTGTGGTCTAACAATGTAATGATGCGGGTTCTTTAGAGCTAAATTTTTGGGCGTTTGTGATACTTCTTTTGGATGAATGACTGGGAGCACAATTGCTAATCCTGTGCGCTCCAACCCTGAGGGTTTGCAAACGCACCCCTCCAGTTACAGCTTCATGGTGTAGGCATCCTTGATTATACAGAAGTAGTACCCCCCCCCCGCATATGTGCTATCAATAAAGCGTGGTTTGCTTTCCCTTAATATTTTATTACTTTTATTTTAAGATCTACCGTACACTTAGAGACTTTGGTGTGTTTTAGGATCATTCATTTTAAATTTTCTAATTTTAGATTTTACATCCCCCGTTTGTGTGTGTCTGTGTTTCTGTCCCTCCCCGTCCGTATGTGCGTCTGTGTGTCGTGACCCTCTCTCTCTGGGATCTTGCTATATAGTGGAGGCTGGTCCTCCCCTTGCCATAGCCTCCCCAATGAGATTTCAGGAATGTGCCACCATGCCTGACTACCAGTTGATAGTTCCTAAAAAGAAAATTCCGTTTTAGTTTTGTGAAACGACTTCCCAACTACTAAGCCAGTGCCACATAGCCTAATGGAGTAGCACCTGCTTATTTGCTTGTAATCCCAGTTCTCAGGACAAAGAGGTAAGAGGATCCCTGAGTTCAGGCCAGCTTGGGCTACATTGTAAGACTTTGTCTCAAAAACAAAACCCCATACTACAATATAAAAATAGCCTTTTCTTTTTTAAAGCAAAAGAAACCATTGAGCCATTTTCTTTTAGAAGAAGTTGTAATTTAAGAATTAAAATTCATCCTTTGAGGAGGGTTGTGGCTCCCCAGTGCTTCATAAAAACTGGAGTCAGGAGGATCGGCTTAGGGCATATTAGACCCTGTGTGTGGGGGGTTGGGGGGCAGGGTTGGTCAGGGGAGAGAGGGAGAGAGATCCAGAGTCCTTTTACCCACATATAGTCCCCAGCACTTGGGAGGTAGAGACTGGTGGGTCTCTGTAAGCTAGCCTGGTCTTCATCTCAGTTTCCAGGCTAACCAAAGTTGCATAGTCAAACTGTGTCTTTAATTAAGGGGGGGGGGTTTGTACTTTGCCCCTGATTATGTTTTCACTTTTGAATATAAGTGAAATGAGTTAAATAAGATTGATAGTTATTTGATTTTTTTAAAAAGCAAAGTGATGATTTGAAAATCAGTACTTAACCTGAAAATAGTTTACCCTTCACATTGCTATTTAATTTTGAGAGTTAATATTTAATTTATATGCAAGGGGTTCAGTTCATTGAAGTTTAATGTATTTTAATAATTATGATAAATATATAAGATTTGATATTTAATGTTCGTATGGAAAATTATTTTTTCTCCCTTGAAATACCTTGCTGTATGGATCCTGAAGAAACGTTTTGTACCCTATCTGGCTTTTATGGTTGAATTTCTCATGGTTTGTAAACTTCATTTACTGACTTTGTAGGATTCAGTTGAACAGTTTCTGTTTAAAACCTGATTTGCAAAGTAAAGCTCAGTGGTAACTGCTTTGGAAACAGCATGAGGCCTCTGATTATAGCACACAGTTTACCTTAGAACAATGATGGGAAAAGTAGAAGGTCTCTCCCTTGCTAGCCATAGTACAACTGACTATGGAAGTTAGGGAAAACTGGAAGGCAAATTAGGCTTTCTTAAGTTTGTTTTATAAAGCTGAAATCTACTTTATGTTATATTCTACTGTGAGACTTTTAACCTTTACAAAGTTTATGACTTTTTTAATTGATAATTTGTTTTGGTGATGGTTTTAATTATTTGGTTTTGGTTTTGATGGTCCTGGATATTGAACACAGTGCCCTCCTTACACCTGCTAGGCAACTGCTGTGCATAGCTAAGCCCTGGATCTGTTTTCATACTTTTAAGACCCGGTGTGCCTTTTCAGAGTTGTACAGATTACACATAAAAAACACAGAAAACATGTAAGTCATTCAGTGTGTCTTTTCAGAGTATACAGTTTACACATAAGGAACACAGAAAACATGTAAGTCAGAACTATTCTGAAGAAATGTTTAATAATTGGATTCTTCAATTTTAAGCAGAATATAAAAAGGATATTGAAAATGGTATGAAAAAACTTGTAGATGCTTTTGTTTTGTTATGAAATGACTAGAAAATTAGAAAGTAGTAATTTGTATTGTGAAAATCTTTTGAATTCTTTAAATTATATTATTATTATTTTTTAAGGAAGCTGCCCAAGCCTTAATTTATGCTGAGATGGCAGGATCCAGCCTAGAACGGATCCAAGAAAAGATCAGTGAATATCTGGAAAGAGTCCAAGCTCTGCACTCTGCAGGTCAGTCAAAAGTGCCACATTGCTCCTGTGTTTGTCTTTCCTCTTCATCTTGGATCTTTTTCCAGACAGGATTTCTCTGTGTAGCTGCTAGCTGTCCTGGAACTCACTCTGTAGACCAGGATGGCCTGGAAAGCACAGAGACCCACCTGCCCTTGCCTCCTGAGTGCTGGGATTAAAGGTGTGCACTGCTGCCTAGTTTCATCGTAGATCTTGACATTTGCTCTTTCTGTTTGCTGAGAAGACTCTCTTAAAGAGATTTAAGAAATCATAATAGAGAAATAGGAAAAATGTTCGAGATCTATGTAGAGCACACTTTCCTAGTTTTCTCTAGCTGCAGAGATAGTAAATTGTCCACATTAAATTTATCATTGACAGAGTTGCAGTGAGTACCATGTCAGAACCTGTTTTAAAGTGTCAGTTCTGACACTAAAGTTAGGATACGAATTGTCCTTACTGTTTAGACTTCAGCAGTAGGCAGTAGATTCTCAGACTTTTCTCTCAGTGTCTTCTAATTTGAGTGAACTGTTTTTTTGTGTGGGTTTTTTTTTGTGTGTGTGTGTGTGTGCCACACCTTGGAAAGACAACATGTAAGCAAAGCCCTGGAGCAGCTTATATTTAGCTTTATGAACAGCTTAGCAGGTGCCACAAGAGACATTTTATTAGCTTAGTGGTCAGTTTTGTTAGAGAAAAAGGGTTTGTGTCAAAATCTGCTGTTCATATGGGTAGAAAAGAAAAATATTGCTGACCTTAGAAATATATTCATCTCACTGGGTGGTGGTGGCGAACGCCTTTAATCCTGGTACTTGGGAGGCAGAGGCAAGTGGATCTCTGTGAGTTCCAGGCTAGCCTGGTCTACAGAATGAGTTCTAGGACAGCCAAGGCTAACAGAGAAACCATGTCTCAAAAACTGAAAAAAAAAAGAAGAAAATATTTGTCATTAGAATGATTTTTAAATCTTTTATCTTTTTCTGTTGTTGGCTAATTCACAGAGGACTACTCAGAGGATTTAGTTCTAGATGGGTTCTGTTACCGTCCACCCCTCCTCAGTGGAATGAGTGAGCAGTTATAAGCACATAATTAGGATGAAGTCTGCTTTTGATTCCGTTACGACAGTCTTCTTAAAAGCTGATAGGCTGCTGTACAGTGGTGTCCAGAAGTTGCCTGAGTTATAGGAATTATTTGACAGAAACTTACACTAATCGCTGCATTCAGAATATCTTGTTGGGAGCTCTGGGAGTGACTCAGCTAGGAGACCTATTTAGCATGCTTTAGGTTCTGGGTTTCCTTCTTAACATGGGGTGAAGGGGCATAGGACCTGCTGCATGATTAAAAAGAATTTCATTTTCCCAGCCAAGTAAATGAAGCTCTTAAATGTAATTGCCTTGTTTAAAAAATAATTCACATTATTTCATATACTGCTTTCCAAGAAAATATTATTATTTTTTAAAAATTTATTTATTTTTATTTCATGTGCATTATATGTATGAGTGGGCGCGTTGGGTCTCCTAGAACTGGAGTTACAGACAGTTGTGAACTGCCACGTGGGTGCTGGGAGTTGGACTCGGGTCCTCTGGAAGAACAGTAAATGCTCTTAACTGCTGAGCCATCTTTCCAGCCCCAAGAAAATTATTTTTAAAGTTCACACAATAATCCTTCAGGATTATTTCCATGATTTCCCTATTCTTTCTATAGATGTTTTAGTTTATTTCAACAGTTATATACTGAATTAATGTTTGAGCTGAATGGTAAATGGGTAGGTGGTACAAGAGCCCCCAGGAAGCTCTAAGCCAGATGTGGAAATCTAAAAATAGGAGCATTGCAATGTTTTGGAAATCTCTTTCTGAAACATATTAGCCAAATGTGAACATAGACTTATCTAGAAGGAAAAGAATGTGTGACAATACTAGCTTAGGAGTAGGAACTAGTAACTGAGGGAGTTTCCATCTTCCATGGCTGTTATAGTCATTCCAGTCAGTGGTCTCTAAATTCTTCAAGTTCTTCCAACAATTGTGAAAAAAATACAATTTTCCCCCCTAGAGAATTAGGAATTATCTCCCTAGTTTTTGTTATATTTTAAAATTTTTTAAATTGCTTTTAAACTGGTGTAGTGGTATGAGCCTGCAGTCCCAGTACTCAGGAGGCTCAAGCAGAAGGATCACTTGAGTTTATGAATGTAAGGCCAACCTGAGCAATATAGCAACAATGCAGAACAAAAACAAATTGCATTTGATCCTGGAAAGTAAATTCTAAAATTGATACTATGAATGTGATTCTCTCTTACAGAAGAATAACACTAATCTCTTAAAGAATATGCCAGTGAAATGAAATTGGAAAAGGATTTTTAATGCAGACAATATCTTAATTGTTTGACTAATATTTTCCTTATTTCATTCTGTAAATGTATTATATGTAGTCTGTGAGAAGTCAATGTGGTTTCTATATTTATTACTTTAAGCAAAAAAGGACTTTTTCTAATAAGAACCTTGTTTAGAACCTCAATTTTAGCCAGGTGTGATGAGACATGTTTATAATGCATATACTTAGAAGGCTGAGGCAGGAGGAGTCTGAGTTTGAGGCTGGCTTGGGCTACATAATGAGACTCTGTCTCAAAATACAAATAAATAGATAAATAAAAATTAAGGTTGTGATGTAGCTTAGTTGGTATAGTACCTGCCTAAAGGCATGATGCTCTCGATTTGATTCTTTATAACATAAACCACATGTGGTGGCACAGGCCTATAATCCCAGTGTGCTGGAGGTAGATAATCAGAAGTTCAGGGTCATTCTTGACTGCATAGTAAATTTGAGGCCAGCCTGGGCTATGTGTGACCACTCTCAAAAAAGTTTCTTTTTAAAGAAAATAGAACCTCAAATTTCAAAATAACTTGTTTATAGTCAAAAAACTCTTGACGGGATAGGTTAACTTCTGAGTAGAGAAAAATATCAATTTGAAGGTAACAAGCGTAAATGTAGAGATTAGATTACTAGACGGACTTTCTACTTTAGGTTTCTCCTTCTAGATATTTAAGAGAAATGAATCAGCTAATAGAGCTGTCTTATTCTTTTGTCATTTGGCTTCTTTCACTGAGCTTAATGTTTCTAAGGTTTATAGATGCTATAGGATGTAGCTAGTCTTTCTCTGTCCTGCCAGCCAGCTCCCAAATTTCAACACGGAGACTTATTATTAATTATGAAACCTCAGCCAATAGCTTGTTTTTGGCTAGCTCTTATAACTTAACCCATTTCTATTCATCTGTGTGCTGTCCTGAGGCTCATTTACATCATCTACGTACTGCCCATACTGCTTTCCTGCTACTTCTCTGTCTCCTTGCATTTCTACCCTTCTTCCCAGCATCCTCTGTGCCTGGAAATCCTGCCTTCATTATTGGTTGTTCAGCTTTTTATGAAACCAGCTAGAGTGACACTTCTTCACAGTGTATGAAAAGATTGTTCCAGGGCTGGAGAGATGGCTCAGAGGTTAAGAGCATTGCCTGCTCTTCCAAAGGTCCTGAGTTCAATTCCCAGCAACCACATGGTGGCTCACAACCATCGGTAATGGGGTCTGGTGCCCTCTTCTGGCATGCAGGCATACACATAGACAGAATATTGTATACATAATAAATAAATATTTTAAGAAAAAAGAAAAGATTGTTCCACGGCAATAGGATATATCAGTACTTTATTTCTTTTCATGGCTAGATAGTAGTCCATTGTATTAACACACTGCAATTTGTATGCCCATTTATCAAGTGGTAAATATCTGGGTTTTCTCCCTTTTGTCTATTGTAATGCTGTGCATGTTCAGGTACTATGTACATTCTGTGCATAGTGGACTATGTACACTCAGGTATAAAATGGATGCACCATTTTATGCTTACAGTTCCACCAGCAGCATAGCTGGTTCCAGTTTCTTAGTTCCCTTATGTTCTTACTCTTATAAACAAGCTCGCTCTCTCTCTCTCTCTCTCTCTCTCTCTCTCTCTCTCTCTCTCTCCTTCTCTTCTCTGTGTGTGGAGAGTGCTGGGAATTGCCTGATACATGCTAAACAAGTGTCCTGCCACTGAGCAATATCCATAGCTCTGCAACACTTTTTTTTTTTAAAGACTAGACCTTGCTGTCCAGCTTCAAACTCTGATACCCCTGTCTCCACCTTCCAAGTGCTGGGATTACAGAGTTCTGCCTCTAGTATTGACTTGTTATTGACTTTTATTTTTAGCCATACTGATGGATTATATCTCATTGAGTTTTGATGTGCATAGCTTGAGGAGTAATGATGTTGAGCATCTACACATGTGCTGTGGACTGGAGAGATGGCTGAGGAGTTAAGAGTACTTGTTCTTGCAGAGGACCCACATGGTGATTCACAACTGTCTGTAACTCCACTTCCTAGGAATCTTATACCCTCTTCTGACCTCACGGGCACCAGGCATGATGGGTGTACAGATGTACATGCAGGAAAAACACCCGTGGACATAAGCACATCTTTCAAACAACACACACACACACACACACACACACGCACACACACGCACACACGCACGCATGCACACAAACAAATTGAAATACTTATTTCAAAGACCTGTAAAAGCATGATGGCCTCTTCTAGACTCAGATGGATAAGAAAAGCAGGAACTTATCATCATGGCCTAGTATTATCTGTACCATGTACTAAAAAATTACCTTAAAATATGATGGTTGCTACTTCTCCCCCATCTCATTCCTTTTTCTTTCCTCTTCTCCTCCTCTTTTCCTTTCTCCTCCTTTTCACTCTTCTTCCTCTTTTCCTTTTCTGGTAGTAGCCATAGAGCCCAGGACATACTGTAAAGCAAGTTCGTTCTGCCCCTGAGCTGTGCCCCCAGCCCTATGTGTTTCTTAATAGTTAGCATTTTCCAAGTTTTTACTTTGTTCATGTGGAGGTAGAAGGATTTGAGGAAGACTCTCCTTCGTTTTGCTCTTTATTTTAATGAAGGGAGTGCTAGTAGAAAAAAATCTGGAGAAATTTTCTAATACCCTGTCTCTGATGTCTGAACAATTGGGCTTGGCCAGGGGACTTTAGAGAGAGAAAAGAGAAATTATTCCTCTTTAAAAAGATTTTTGTTATATAGTTTGCTAAGTCTTTTCAATGAGGAATATAAAGTTTAGTAAGGAATGTCTTAAATATATTAAAATGTTGGTATTCCCTGGCTACATTTAAAGAATCTTTCTACATGTTTTTTTTTTTTTTTTTTTTATTCTGTACTAGTTCAGTCAAAGAGTGCTGATCCTTTGAAATCAAAACATCAGTTGGATCTGGAGCGTGCCCATTTTCTTGTTACTCAAGCCTTTGATGAGGATGAAAAGGGAAATGTGGAAGATGCCATAGAATTATATACAGAAGCTGTGGATCTCTGTCTAAAAACCGTAGGTATAGCTATGAGTTAAACTTGATGGAATTATGTTAGGAAATTGCTTCCCTTACTCATGAATTTTATTTAATTTGAAGGAACCCCTACATTCTTTTGTTATGAATAAAACTAATTTAATCTTCATTGAAAATGTTGAGTAGATCACTAATAATAGAGTTTTATACCTTATTAAAGTTTTGCTGCTACTGAATCACTAAGCAATTGCTTTTAAAATGTTATATTTGCTTATTATTATATTTAAACTGTTTAAGGTTATCTTGTAACTAAAATTACTATAAGAAGGATTCACCGTCATGAATCTGTAAATTTAGCATAAACTTTTTTCAATTTCATACAGTAAAATATAAAGTAGTAGTTTGGGAGAGCTTCATTAACTTGCAATATAAAATCTATATGCTGAGTGACTTAGTACTCCCTGATGGACCTTGATTGAGATGCTTAGCTTCAAGGGGTATCTAGTACTTAAGAATACCATATGTTTAGAAGGAGGATGAAGTAATGTAGTAGAGGATGTTCCCATTGTCTTTCACATGGAAGCTTTTTGGCAGGCTGTTGTGGTTAGAAAAACCATCCACCTTGATTTCTACAACCCTGGAGAACATAGATAAGTGCTGGTCTCCCTGGTTCCTCCTGCACAGCCTTCCCATGGTACATACACATTTATGGTCTAGTTCACATTGTCTACAGAAATTGCTTTTAAGTTCACCCCAGTGACAAAATGCTCAATATGGTTTTAATGATAACCTTTAAAGACAGAAAATGTTGTCTTTATTTACTCATAATTATAAGAAATATATTTAATTTTGCATAGAAATATGGATTAAGCAAATTAAAGAACTATGCTTTAGAATGTCTCTCTTTCTCTTAAGTCTTCTGAAACTGCTGATAAGACTCTGCAAAATAAATTGAAACAGTTGGCTCGACAGGCACTAGATAGGTGAGTTTTGTCACTTAAGTTCTTATCAATGGACAGCATGAATTGTGCTTTTTTTTTTTTTAAAATCATGACATCTTGAATGTGTGGTAGAGGTCTAACTGTTCGTCCATAAGCTGAGACTTAGTGCTTCAGACCAAATAAGTAGCCCATTCATTAGTCAAGAAGTCTTTCAGTTTTTGCTCATTTAGAGAATTAACTGTGATATTTGGTTTGTTTTATTGCCCTGTTACTGAGTGTCTATGGTAGTCTTGTGGCTTGAACCCAGGACCTCATGCATGGTATTCATTCTACCACTGAACCATATTCCCAGCTCCCCGCAGTCATATTTCAGATGAAATACTTCCTCTGTGTTGTATAATATCAGACTTCCAAAACAGCCTTTTCAGAAAGCCATCTAGAGTTGCTATTAAAAGATAGACATTGAGAATGGCCTTGCATTCATCCCCAACTTCAAATTGTATGTGTTGCCTTCATCTTAAGCTTGTGTCCTGAGACTTGCTGGAAACATTTTATTTAAAGTTGAGTCTCCTCCAACACTTTCATTCTGATTGCTCTGCTTGTTTCAATATTCTTTTCCATTGTTATTACCGCATTGTGGGATATACAAACAGACCAGTTTGTTGTATTTTTTGTTGATGTCTGTGTTATTCAACCTTTATTCCCTAAGTGGAATCTTGGGAAGACAGAGTTGCCTATTTTGTTCACTACTTGAGTGAGCATCCTGCAGAATGCCTAATGTAGATGTGTTCAGCAGGTATTTGGTGAATGAATGGATCTGTGTAAGTGAATCATGCTGCCTCTTTCAAGAGCTGAGGTAGAAAATACTTTCTTGTAAAGGAAAGGAGTAGAAATTTCATCTATCCCTAGAATGTGAATTTTCGAAATTCTTAGTTTGAAGCTTTACCTGTAGCCATGTTCTGGTCCTTTCATTGCAGAATAGCTTCTCCCTTCTCTGCTTCATCATCAGTGAAGTTTTAGTTTGTTTACCCAAACTCATGAAGTGTGAGCACTTGACACATTTGCCTTCTCCAGTTTTCATGACATGGGGATCACTGTGTTCACCAGGCATGGTTGCCTTCTCCATCATGATTTCTTTTATCAGCTCTAATCATAGTTGGTTTTTATTCTTGTGTAAATAAGCCATCCAGTATTTCTAAGTCCATCCTAGGTGAAGGTAGGTAGGGTGATGTATCATTTAGAGGGTCCTTTGAGGATCTGCTGAAGGAAGATTAAGGACCTTCTTCTAGAAAAATGTATGTCTAGTGTTCTTGGCATATAATTTTGGAGTGTTATAAGACTCATGAAGCTCATTTGTGGATCTTAGGTGAAGAACATTTTTAGCTTGTTAGTTCTTTGACAGAACAGTTAAAATCCCCTTGCATGTCATGTGATGCCCCCTGTCAATCAGTTCCTACTTTCCTCTCACCTTGTCTCCTGCTGTCTCTCACTTGTACTTTTGATGGGGACTGTATCCATCCTTTGATATTACCATAGCTTGCTGTGCTGTTTGGTACTGCTGTGTGTTCTTCACTGCAGAGGAAGTTCTCTAAGACTCGAGCATTAAGTCTCAGTGCCCTTCCCTCCATTCACCCTCTTTTCTTGGTGACCAGGGCTAGGATTTCTTTTGTGTATTCATTTGCATGAAACGCTTCTGTCCTGGCATCTGCCGTTTTGACACAATTGTCTTTTTTATCCACAAAATCTTAAGGATATGATTTATACATTATTATACACCCTTTACCTTGCATATAATAAATAAAATGTTCATTTAAGTATTACTTACAAAATATGTGCAGTAGCTTACATGGAGAAATTTTGATTAGTATGTAAGGATTTTATGAACTGATTTTACATTAGGATGCTTTACTAACTCAAAGTAAGTTTTGTGTCCTGTAAGTTTAAATGAAATACCCAAGAGGTAGAGGCAGGAGGATCAGGGCTTCCAGGCCAAATTGCTACATAGCAAGTTTGAGGCCAGTCTCTTTATTGAGACCCTATCTCATAAAAGGCAAAAGCATAAATGTAAGAAAAAACTAGAACAGTTCTTCTGTGCTTCTGTTTTAGAGCAGAAGCATTGAGTGAACCTTTGACAAAGCCGTTTTGCAAACTCAAATCTACAAATATGAAAATGAAGACTGCCCCAGTAAGAACACATTTTCCTCTGGGACCTAATCCTTTCCTTGAAAAGCCTCAGCCATTTATAAGTCCACAGTCATGTGACGCCCAAGGACAGAGATACACAGCAGAAGAAATAGAAGTACTCAGGTAAATCCACTCACGACTCAGGGTAATGAAAACTTTAAAATAACCAGTGCAGACCATTTTATTCTGAATTTCATGAATAATTTACATAGCAGTTATGGCAGGCTACTAATTTTCTATGTACCTTTGTAACCACAAGTCTCACGGGGATGGAGGGTTACTTTGAAATAGCCAGCAAACAAAAGTCTGGAGTTGTGAATCCTTTAGTTTGTTTGGTTTTTTCAAGACAGGATTTCTTTGTATAGCTCTGGCTGTCCTGGAGCTCTCTCTATAGACCAGGCTGGCCTAGAACTCACATAGGTCTGCCTGCCTCTCTGCTCTCTGAGTGCTGAGATTAAAGATGTGCACCACTGCCTGGCTACTTTTCATTTTTTAAGAGTTAAAAAAAAATGAAAACAGAATTGTGACAGAGACCACTTTGTAAAACCTAAACTGTGTATTATGTCAATCTTTACAGAAAGTGTTCATAGACTTCTGATGTAGAAAGACAGCTCAGTGTATTTGAAAGCAGTCTTGGGGTCTATTAAAAATTCAAAGCCTGAGCTTGACATAGAACTTGCCTGTAATCCCAGCACTCTGGAGAAAGGATACTTATAAATTCAGGTTCAAGGCCAGCCTGGGCTTCAAGGAAACCCTGCCTCAAAAACAAACAAAACAAAACAAAACAAAAAACCAGTAACAGCAAGACCCACGATACTCTAGAGATCCTTTACTGTCTTCTGAACCAGTTGATCAGGTGAAAAGAGGATAAATCTCTGGGCCACCTGATAGTTCTTGAGTTGGGCAGGTCATATAGATGTTAATTTTAAGTTTTCAGAGATTGAGCTGAAAGGAACAGTGTTCCCTCCTTGGCCACAGCCTTCCAGAGCATCTTCCTTTCTTCCTGAAGATTTCCATTACACATCTCTTAGTTTGGTTCCTTTGCCTAGGAAAAATAGTATGTAAACAAACACAGTAGAAATAAAACAACAACAAAAGGGTCCTTTTGAAGATGAAGCTTTAAACTACTGAGCGTCTTAATTAGGGTTGTTATTGCTATGATAAAACACCATGACCAAAGCATTTTAGGGAGGGAAGGGCTTATTATTCAACTGTGCTTCTCCATCACTGTCCATCATCAAAGGAAGCCAGGAACTCAAGTGAGGCAGGAGCTGATATAGATGCTATGGAGGGGGTGCAGCTTACTGGGTTGCTGCTCATGGCTTGCTCAGCCGGTTTTCTTATGGAATACAGGGCCACCAGCCCAGGGATGGCACCACTCAGAATATTCCCCAGTCAATCACTAAGAAAATGCCCTACAGGCTTGCCTACAGCCTGATCCTATGGAGGCATTTTCTCAATTGAGGCTAGCCAGTACAGTGAGAATTCATCATTTTGGCTACTCAGAATCTGTATACTACTTTTATATATACTACACATTTGAAGTTCCACACTGTAACAAAACAAAACTCTTAAAACACAACTATCCTTCATACAAGTGAAAATGAGTGCCAGGCAGTGGTGGCACACGCCTTTAATCCCAGCACTCGGGAGACAGAGGCAGGTGGATCTTTGTGAGTTTGAGGCCAGCCTGGTCTACAAGTGCTAGTTCCAGGACAGGCTCCAAAGCTACAGAGAAACCTTGTCTCAAAAAAACACAAACAAACCAAAAAAAAAAAAAGAAAGAAAGAAAGAAAATGAGTATACACCGTCCCAACAGTTATTGTATCCATTCCTGACTACATTAATCTTCAGGTTCACTGAGTATATTACCCAAAGACTACAACTACTCTTAAAAAAAACAAAACAAAACAAACAAAAAAACCCCAGATGCATAAGAAAGAAATAGCTACTAAACCTGGTGGCACGTGCTGCAATTCCAGCCCTTGAGATGCCAGTGCAAGGATTTTTGAGTTCGAGACCAGCCTGATAGCCTGGGTTATATGCAAAGCCCTATCTCAGTTTAACAACAACAACAACAGACCACCCCCCCCAAAAAAAAAACATAAAACATGCAGAACTTCTACAAATCTCACTGAATTTGTTGACAGATCATAGCTCTTTCTATGCCACTTTCTTCTTCCAGGACCATCCATGTTCTGATAGCCAGAAGATAGAAAGATCACATTTTTAAGAGTTTATTGTGTTTTTTAGTTAGTTAGTTAGTTAGTTAGCTTGGTTGCCTTTTAGTTTTTTGAGACAGGGTTTCTCTTTGTAGCCCTGGCTGTCCTGGAACTTACTCTGTAGACCAGATTGGGCCTGAACTCAGAGATTTGTCTGGGATTAAAGCCTGTACCACCATTGCCCAGCTTGTTTTTTTTTTTTTTAAATCCCCAAATAACTAAGTTATTGCTTTGTTTCTTTGGTCTTAGGTTAGACTTGTCTTTGTCCCAAGTCTAGGAAGTTAATTTTAAAGGAATGTTCTTATTAAAATGAATTGAATTATAACAGTTATACTCTGTTATTTCCCTCTGTCTGTCTCTCTCTCTTGGTTTTTCAGACAGGATTTCTCTATGTAACATCCCTAGCTGTCCTGGAACTAGCTCTTGTAGATGAGGCTGGCCTCAAACTCATAGAGATCTGCCTGCCTCTGCCTCCTGAGTGCTGGGATTAAAGGCATACGCCACCACGCTGGGCAACGAAGGAAAAATTTCAATGACAAAGTATGATACTATATTAAATTGACAACTTCATAGTTTTCAGATCTTTATTTGGATAGTTTTGATAAGAGAAATACCAGACCCGGATGGTGGTAGTGCACACCTTTAATCCCAGCACTTGAGAAGTAGAGGCAAGTGGATCTCTGTGAGTTCGATGCCAGCCTGGTCTACAAGAGCTAGTTCCAGGACAGGCTCCAAAGTAACACAGAGAAACCTTGTCTTGAAAAACCAAAAGAAAAAGAAAAGAAACTTTTCCTTCAGTATTAGCTAAAAGACTGAGATGCTATTGTATTTTAAACTTAGAGTTTAACTAAAATTGGTGATTTATAAGATAGACTTGAAAACTTAGATCTTTTTCTTGTGCCTTATAGGACAACATCAAAAATAAATGGTATAGAATATGTTCCTTTCATGAGTGTTGATCTGAGGGAACGTTTTGCTTATCCAATGCCTTTTTGGTAAGTAAGCACATTTAACTTTTATTTCCAGTACTCTGAAGTTCAATTTAATTTATAGCCTTGAAGTTAAATTTTATATGCAAAGTTGGTTGGAAAAGAGGAGTATTTATGGGAAAGAGGTGGAAAAATAAAGAAGTTGAAATAAAGATCTGAGCAACATGAAGTTGTCAGTTTAATAGAGTACCATAATAGAGAACCATAATATCACATTGATCTTAATTGGCTTGGTTATGGGCTCAAGGGGATTTTTTTTAACCTAATATTATAGACATAGTGCTTAATATAATAAATATAATACTTGGTATAGTGTAAGTACTGAGCAACCATTTGTCCAGTTAATGATTGGATCACAGTAGGAAAAAAAACCCAGAAAGTAATCTAAGTGTTTAGAGATATACTCAAATACCTACACAAAAGATACTGTAATTGTGAATTATTAGAGTAAATCACTCTAGTATGTGCTATATCTATGTATTTACACTACTATATGATTATCTTTAAGGAGATGTAAATTTGTGTTTTCAGTTTTTATGTAGCAAATTAAATTACGTCTCTCATGCGAGAAAGTCCAAAAGAAAAATATAGCCTGAACAATAAAAGTTGAGACAATTTAATAATATAATTGAAAAAGTAAAACATGAAATACAAAAACTCCTTTAATTTGCAGGAGATCAGTGTGTTCAGGGTGGTATGGCCATAGACAAAGCTCCCTCAGTTTAGGAATTAGTATTCCTGAATTGGAATTTCTAAATTCCACAGTTAGAAGTTCCCACTCTACTTTTTCTTTTTTTGATAATTGCTTGCTTAATACATGTCCCCATCTGGAAACTATAAGCTTTGTAAGGACAGAGATCATGTCTGTTTAATTAAGTTCCACCCTGTATCTAGTACAATGTCTTCATTTTTTGTTTTTTTTTTTAATTTCTATATCTCTTTGTAGTAAACACTCAAGATTTACTTACTGAGTGAATTATATTTGAAATTATAATATATTGAATTATATTATCTATTTGAAGAATAGATAAATACTAAAATTGACCAAGTGGCAGTATTTTCCCATTTTTGTCATCTAAATTATTTTATATAGAGAATAATTATAAGAAAAATGTAAAAATTTAAATCCATTTAACAGATTGACAGGAAAAGGCTTCATAATTTAACTTAATTTAGAGCAGTGGTTCTCAACCTTTCTAATGCTGAGTGAGGCCCTTTCTCATGTTGTGGTGATCCCCCAACCATAAAATTATTTCATTGTTACTTTATAACTGTAATATTGCTTCTTTTATGAAATGTAATGTAAATATCTGATATGCAGTATATCTTATATGGGACTCCCCCAAAGGGGTTATGACCCGCAGGTTGAGATTTAGAGACTGATTTAAATTTTTTTTTGTATTCTGGTGATGTTAACCTTTAATTCATAAGCATCGTAGTTTATAAAATACTTTTAGTACCCTTATGAGTCTAAGAAAAGAAATGTGTTTAACACTGACTTTAATCACTAACAGTGATTTGAGAGAACAAATACTGTGAAATCTTCAGTTTATTCTATAGTATCTGTTATATGAAAGGCTAATAATGGATGAGTAATAGATAAAATTATAGGCTTACAAGTTTGTGATTGATTGCTGTCCTTTAAACTCCTTAGTTTACTGAGCCCTGTCTCTATTTATACTCGGCTCCTGACATTACACAGGTTCTAGCTAAAATGTTACCCGAACAACAGAGATTCTGTGAAGTGATGATCAGAATGTTTGAGAGTCCAGGTGTGACGGCACACCTGCAGTCACAGCACTCGGAGGGCAGAGGTAGGGTGATCATAAGTTCAAGACCACTTCTCAAAATGTAAAAACAACAGAATGTTTTTAAGCAGTGTTGTAGGCAGTTGTTTCTGCCCAAGAGATTTGCAACAACATGGGCTCATAAAAGTCTAGAGGTGTCCCACTACAGTGAAGAAGCTAGTACTTTAAGTTTTCAGGTCACGCTTGAGCACAAAATCTTCTTTATCTAATACTCACAGCATTCTTGGATAAAAGAACTACACAAATTTGTTTTAGTTTGCATATTACACATTACCGCAAAATCTTTTGAAATCCAAAGAGACCCATGTTGCCATTGCTGTAGGAAAGTGAAGACTTGGGGTTTGGGGTGGTAGGTGGTTTTTATTTGCGTTTTATGCCAGCTTTAAAGAGATACTACAGCACAGAGTGAGTACAGTGTAGTGGGCGACATGGTGGATATAGTACCAAGGCTTGGATTCAGTTGTCACCTCTTAGCTTCTTGACCTTGGTAACCGACCAGTTTATGCTTTTCTAAAAAGTTCTTAACTGAGTAGTTATTTTGAGCATTTAAGTGGAGAATAATATATAAAGCATGTTGGCGTGATACTTGGCACAAGGTCACTGTTGAGTAAATTTGCTGGTCTCTCTGCCCTTTCAAGAGCAAGGGAAGGAGCTGGTATCCTAGGTCCTCAGTGGATCAGTGTGTATTGTAAATGACTCCATTTTATTGCTGAGTTTCCTGACCATCATAACTGTGCTAAGTGTTTATACCATATTTTTAAGTAAATATAAACTTCTGTCTTCACTTTTATTTTTTTAAACTGGAGAAGGTGTTCAGGTTGACTGATTTCAAGGTTAAATGTAAAGAGCCAGATTTAACTGTTTTTTTTAGGAAGACAGAAGTGTAGCTGTATGATATCTGTGACAAAAAGGAGGCTTCATTCCAGCTCAAGTCATCTTTAAAAATTAATATATTCTTTTAACTTTTATTGTTTCCTCAGTGATAGGTGGGGCAAGCTTCCATTATCACCTAAACAAAAAACTACATTTTCTAAATGGGTACGGCCAGAAGATCTCACCAACAATCCTACAATGATATACACTGTATCCAGTTTTAGTATAAAGCAGGTAAACATTTATTTTGCATAATGTTTAAGAAAATTGATACTCTAAGGAAATTTGAATTTAGATTTGATTTTTATTAGATTGTATATAGATGCATGAGTATAATTGCAAAAATTTCTCATCCTTCACATTGTTTCCAGCTTGATTTGGTAGCACATACCTATAATCTCAGCTCTCATGATTTAATGCTGTCATGGGCTACATAGTAAGTTTGAGACCATAATATAACAAGATAATTCTCAAAATGAGACTGAAAATTTGTTATTTATTTTCTTCTGAGATAGCATCTTACTCTGTTGCCTGAGCTGGCCTTAAATTCAGTAATCTCCAACATCAGCCTCCCAAGTAGCTGAGATCATGGGTGTGTGCCACCATGCTTAGTGCATTCTGTGCATTCTATCTTTAACATTTAGAAAATAATACGAGAAACTGTTCTGAGCAGTTACAGATTTTTTTTTCCAATAATGGGAATTGAATTTAGGATCTTGTGCATGCTAGGCAATCACTGTATATCTGAGCTACAACCCAGGCCCCAAGTATAGATTTTTGCATTTGTAGATGTGATGCTTGAGAATTGAATTTTATACTTGTCAAGGAAATAGTTATAAAAGACTTAGTTATTTAAATATTTAACTCTTGGAGGCTAGGGAAGTCCCTGCTGCATAAGTGAAAAGACCTGAATTTGCATCCTCAGAAACACGTAAAATTCAGGAGGGGATGGAATGGCTCAGTGGGTAAGAACACTAGCTGCTCCTCCAGGGACCCAGGTTCAATTTCCAGTGCCTACATGGAAGCCATACCTGTTTGTAACTCTAGTCCCAGGGGATTGAATGCCTTCTAATTTCTTTGGTCAGTGGGCACACATGTGGTGCCCGGGATTATATGCAGACTGAACACCCATACACATAAAAATTTTTAAAAAGGAAAAGGATGGCTGCATACTACTGTAACCCTGCCTTGGGGATGCAGATAAGTGATCCCTGATGCTATCTGGCCAGCCAGCCTATTGAATTGGGAAGCTTCAAGTTCAGTGAAAGACCCTCTCAAAAAGTAAAGGGTGGATAAGTTTGGTTCCCACTGCATGATATGGAGCTCATAAGCCTGCAACTCCAGCTTCAGGGATCCAATGTTCTCCTTTGTCCTCCTTGAGTTTCCACACTCCATGTGCACATATAGCTCAAAATAGACACATGCAGAGATACATAATTAAAAATAAACACAGACACACATACACGTATATTTTAAAAGTAAAAGGTAGAAAGTGATTGAATGGAACAGTCCTTATCATTGACTTTGGGCTTGCATATATATCTATGTGTACATGCTTATACTCACACTAATACACTACCCCATGAAAGTATATAATATACCACAAACTGGGATACTTTTTCTAGGATTTGTTTGAATAAAATATATGAGTTAGTAACATGACAATTCTATTTTTCTATTTGAATAATAATCAAGATATTTAATATAAAAGCTAAGGTGGCAGGTGTAATGTATAAATATTGTACAAATGCTGAAGTTACATGAATGAAAGAATATGTTCTTATTAACAGACGATAGTATCAGATTGTTCCTTTGTGGCATCATTGGCTATCAGTGCAGCTTATGAGAGACGATTCAATAAGAAGTTGATTACCAGGTAAATTTTTGTGTTTGTCCTTCATATAATTGTTACTTAACTGGAAAGTTAAGGCTTAGACCATATTCATGTAGTAGTGGAGAGGGCATATCACTAAATTATTATGACCCTTCTGTGAGTTAAATAGATGACTCCTGAATGTGTGAAGTTCTTCTAAAGAACATATGTACATACGTAGCAAAATAATGTATGTGGAATGTGTTTAGAAATTGATGTAATCGAGGTGGAAACCATGTCCTATTTATACTTTGTAATTTTAACTGTACAGAAAGTTAGCCACTAGATGGTTATTGAACATTTGGAATAGGTTGAGTTTAGATGGGTGGCAAGTACAAAATGTACATGAGATTTTGAAAACTTAACATACAAATTGTAGAACTGGAAAATATCTCTTTAAGTGTTGAGTATTTGTTGGAATCATAATTGGATTAAGCAAAATATATTATAAATTAATCTGATTTTTAACATTTTGTTTTTGTTTTTGGAGACACAGTCTTTATGTTGCCTGACTGGCCTCAAACTTAGAGATTCACCTGCTTCTGCCTCCCTAGTATTGAGATTAAATGGTTTTCATCTTTAACTTTTAAAATGGCTACAGGAAATTATAAAATGGCATGTATTTCTGTTGACTATAACAGCTTTAAAAATATATTAAAATGTTTGAGTTTTGTTCAGTTTTTGAAAGTTATATTAAGCTTAAAAGCACTCAGTATAATTATAATCATGCTTTTATTTAGCTTGTCCTAAGACTAGAAGATAAATCAGACAGTGCTTAGTTTCATTTATTTGCCATATAAATAAACAATTTGGAGTGTGCTTGATTTGGTGCACACTCTTAAAAGAAAATTGGTAGTGAAAGTTCTTAAAATATCTCATTGTATAATTTAAATTTTTTTTAAAATGTGTATGGATAAATGTTTTGCTTACATTTATGTCTGTGCACCACATGCCTTTTGTGCAACTTTGTAATTTATTAATTATATGATCATATGTGTTGTGTCTTTACTCTCTACACGAAAGTTGTCTGGTGCCCTTAGAAATTAGGTAAGGTTTTTGGATCGTCTGAATCTGGAGTTAAAATGGGTATTAGCCACCGTGTGGATGCTAGCAACAGATCCCAGGTCCTCTGCAAAGACAAGAAGTACTTTTTAAGTGCTGAATCATCTCACTAGAATTTATTAAGTGCTTTAATTGTATTTATTGAAATGATCTTTTTTAAAACCAATGATAAAAGATAATTTTAACTGGCTTAAAATATATTTATTCAATATGTGATTTGTTAAACTTGTAGTTAAAAATTGAGTACTGTAGACTGTAGCTCAGTTAATAAAGTGCTTGCCTAGTACACGGGGCCCTGGGTTCAATCCTCAATACTGTATAAACTTATCATAATGGAGTACACCTATCATCCCACCATTCTGGAGGTGGAAGCTGAAAGATCAGAAGTTCAAAACCTTCCTCTGCTGTATAGTTAGAAGCCAGCCTGAAGTATGTAAGACCCTAACGCAGAATATTGTGAAGATTTATGCTCTAGTTTATGATTTTAGAAGATATTTCCTTAAGCTGGGAGTGGTGGTACATTTGGTAGGTTGAAGCAGGAGGCTTATGAGTTCAAGATCAGCTTGGCTACATAATGAGACCCTATCTCAAAAGGAAAACCAAAACCAAGAAATGTTTAAAATATTAAAATAAAATAGTCTGTGTTCATTTTTATAAAGTTAGGAAGAAAATAATATTTATCAGTGAATGACTTATATTTAAATATAATATAAAATATATATTAGTTGATGCTAAATATTAACATTGGTATTTTAATACTTATTTTTTTCTTTCCAAAGCATAATTTATCCACAGAATAAAGATGGAGAACCAGAGTACAATCCCTGTGGAAAGTATATGGTAAAACTTCACCTCAATGGTGTCCCAAGAAAGGTGAATATCTCTTTTTTCTTCCCAGTCCCTACTTCCATCTCTTCTTTCTTCACCTCTTCACCCTTGAATCTTGAGGAAAACAAACTAAAAGAAAAGTTGACTGTGTAAAGATTTTAAAAGTCAATTTGGGGAGACTGGAGAGATGACTCAGAGGTAAAGAGCACTGGCTGCTCTTCCAGAGGTCCTGAGTTCAATTCCCAGCAACCACATGGTGGCTCACAACCATCTGTAATAAGATCTGGTGTCCTCTTCTGTACTGCAGAATACATGCAGGAAGAACCATGTATACATAATAAATAAAAATCTTTTAAAAAAGTCAGTTTGGTGATTTGAATATGTGATATAATGTATATACTACTACCAATAGAATCATTTTTTAGTAATTAAAAATAAAACAAGTATAAAATTTTAAAGATTTTTTTTAAATTTGTGTGTTTTTGTGTGCATGTATTACACACATGTGTGCAGTGTCTGTGGAGGCCAGAAGAGGGCGTCAGATCCCTGGAACTAGAAATTATAGGTCCTTGTAAACTGATATGGGTACTAGGAACTGAGCTCTGGCTTCTTGAGGAACAGCGAGTGTTCTTAACCACTGAGCTGGCTCATAAAAATATTTTCTTATAGATTTCATTGTTTTGCCCAAATTGTCTTCAGTTGGTCTCAAGTGATCCTCATGAATAGCTGGAGCTACAGGTATGAGTCACTGCACTGAAGTCTTTTTTAAAAATTGATTTTCAAATACCTTATGCAGAGTTCTAAAAGAATTGCTAATGATTAGTAATTTTTAATCTGATCTAAAGTTTTGTTTTGCTTCCTTTTTCTGACAGGGTGTGGTTAATGTATCCCATTCTTGCCTCAAATCTGTAATGCTTTTGCCTCACCTTGAGAACAATGGAAAGGCTCTTTAACTCTTTTAATTAAAAGAAAATGAGGATCAGCCAAATTGTTTCATGGGTAAAGGCATTTCCCTTGCAAACCTAGTGGATGAGTTCGATTCTTGGAATGTAAATGTGGAAGGGGACTTGAGTGCCTTCACTCCTGCTGTGACATATCCTTCCACACATGTACATGCATCATGCACATTCACACATAATAATAATATTTTTTGAATAAATTATACATTAATAAGAGGTTGGTGGTACATGACTTTACTCCCAGCATTCAGGAGACAAAGGCAGGCAGATAGATCTCTTGAGGCCATCCTGATCTACATAGTGAGTTCATGCCATCCAAGACTATATAGTGAGACCCTGATTCAAAAATAAGTAAGTTACTTGATTAAGAAAACCAGATAAGTCTGTTAGGTCAGACTTATTTTAGCTCAGAGTTCTAAAATAATCATAACAATATGAGGAGCCTTTATTTTTTCTTGTGACATATTTGCAGTTTTAAATCATGCTGTTCTGGCTTATTTTAGGAGTCTGAACTCTATAACAGGACCTTCCTTGCATAATTAGCATCCTCCAGCACCTGTCAACTCCCAGGTCCATGCACCAAATTCAGCATCTCCTGGGAACTTTTAGAATTGTAGAATTTCAGGCCTGCCTTCAGATATACTGTATCAGAGTTGTAATTTTTTTTTACTTATTTTTGTTTTATGTATGTGGGTGTTTTGCTTTCATGCATATCTGTGCACCATGTGTGTGCAGGACCTGACAAGCTCAGAAGAGGGCCATCTGATTCTCAACCTGTGTGTCACGACCCCTTTGGGTCCTATCAGATACCCTGCTTATCAGGTGTTTACATTACGATTCATTAACAGTAGCAAAATTACAGTTATGAAGTAGCAATGAAATAATTCTATAGTTGGGGTCCCTACAACATGAGGAACTGTATTAAAGGGTTGCAGCATTAGGAAGGTTGAGAACCAGTGCTCTAGAGCTAGAGTTAGACTGTTGTTAGCTGACATTTGGATGATAGGAATTGAAACCAGGTCCTCTAGAAGAGCAGTCAGTGCTTTTAACCACCAAGTCACTCCTCTTGTCCTCAGAGTCTATATTTTAACAGAATTACCTGGTGGTTGAGGCTGAAAATCATTGTTCTAAAGCTCACTGACACTCAAATCTTAGTGGCATAGAGTTACCTGGGGCATTGATTATTGTGATTCACCCCCAAGTAAGTGTGCTTTGGTAGAGCTGAGGATTGAGTCTGCTAGGGCCTTGCTCATGGTAAACGTTCTGTCTCTAAGGTATAATGACTCCCCAGTCTGTCTATCTCATGTGTAACCAGTGCTCACAGGTTATCCCTGAACTCATGCTTTAACCCATATAGACCTTGAACTTACATCCTGCCTCAGCCTTTGGAGTAGCTTAGACTATAGGCCTGTATCACCAGCCTTGGTTTACTTTCTCATTTAGTAGATCTGGGATGAGACCAGAACTTGCCTTTCTAACAGTCTCAGTGTTAATCCTAATGTTGATGCTATTGTTTGGGAGCACTTTAGAATTACTTTGATTACTTAAAGACTAAATAAACAATTTTGAGAAAGATAGTAACCTCTTGTTCAAAAGAATCTTTCAGTGTTGAGCATGGTGGCACATAGGCACATACCTGTACCTAGGACTCAGGAAGCTGAGACTGGAGGATGGCTAGTTATAGGCCAGCCTGGGCTACATAGCTTGTTTCAAAAAGTTTTTGAAGTAGTAATCTTTGTACTATTTTCAGATTAGAACTCTTATTTTAGCCCCATGTCTTCCAAATCATTTTCTTCTTCTTTTTTTTCCAAGTAATTTTTAGTATTAATTAGATACCAAATCTTTGTGGTATTGCTTGCTCAGTTATTTAAATGTATTTTTTTAGTTAGAATATTCTACTGGTACAATCATATATAGTATAAATCTTTTTATACCAAAAATAGGAAGGCTCTTTTGTAATTTTAAATATAGTGTACATCTAGAATCCCTAATAATTTTGATTTTATATATATATATACACACACACACATACACATCTCTCGTGTGTAATTATTAGCTTGTCAGTGAGATTAGCTTATAAGACTGAATAAAGACATTGTATTAAAATGGTAAGCACTTTATAAAGCTGTCATTATCTTAATAATAGGTACATTGTGACTGTTATTGATATAAAGTTAATTTTTTTAATTGAGATTTAAAGATTGTTTCACCTAATGAAGTTAATGTTCTCTTTCTACAGGTGATAATTGATGATCAGTTACCTGTTGATCATAAAGGAGAATTGCTGTGTTCTTATTCCAACAATAAAAGTGAACTATGGGTGTCACTTATAGAGAAAGCATACATGAAAGTTATGGGAGGATATGATTTCCCAGGATCCAACTCAGTAAGTCATGGATATGTGTTACACACACACTTATGCTACCTAATATATTTTAAAGTTGAAAAATTATAGTTGATTTTGTTTATGGAAAAATAAATCATATTATCAACCCCTGAGAAATGTGATCAGTTTCCTTATGATAAGGCTACATATTTTCTTATGTAAGGATAGCACATTGTGTAAATTATGTATAGAGTGAAGTCTGAAATATATGTGTGTCTGCTGTTACGTTGAGAGAGAGCAGTGTTTTCAGGTCAAAGGAGGGGTGGGTATCATATTGATAGTCTTGTGTATATCTTTAGTTGTAAGTTTAGGAACAAGGAATTATTTTCCAGCCATCATTAATATAACTTGTAAAATTGAACTGTGTGCTAGGGTCCTTGATTTGCATGAGATCAACTATTAAATTTAAATTATGTCAATTTGATATAAATTTGATAATAACCAACCTGTGGCCTTAGAAGTGGTCTGCCTTTCCTCATTGTGTGTCTGTAACAGAACATTTAAAGTCATCTCGGGGTTTGTAAAGAATGAGTTAGTGGGTGATGGCGTAGCCCTTGGGAAGCTTAGGTAGGATTGCTGCAACACTGAGACTAGATTGGACTGCATGTGACTTCAGGTTGAGATATAAGAAGACCCTGTGTGCATAGAAAACATGTACTTGATAAATCTCCTTGTCTAATATGAGTCCTTCGTCATTCTTCAGGATCTTACAATGCAAGACAGTGAATGGAAAGGTCATACTTACATTGATATTAACATTTTTACTTCCCAGCCTGCACATTCAGTTATGTTCTTTCAGATACTTTTAGTCCTGACTGTCCTGGAACTGGCTATGTAGAGCAGGCTGGCCTTGAACTCACAGATTTATTTGCCTCTGCCTCCATCATGCCTACCTAGCTGATTGCCTTTTTATTCAACTTAGAGAAAGAAAGAGTTGGAGTGTATGTAACATGCTAGAACTGACTGATTGTAAAAACTCACTGTATGATAACTTGTTATCATAGCAATCTCTTGTATTGCATTTTGAGTCTTTTTATATCTAACAATTAAAAAAAAGTCGTTTATGAGGCTGAATAGATGGCTTAGCACTTAAGAACTCCTGTTGCTTTTGTAGAAGACCTAAGTTCTGTTCCCAGCTTCCTACATGCCAGCTCCCAACTATCTGTAATTCAGTTCAGGAGGATCTGATGCCTGTTCTGGTCTCCATGGGCACCAGGCACACAAGTGGTGCACAGACACACATGCAGGCAAAACACCCATACACAAATCTTTTTTAAAGAATTCTCGAGTTCAGAGAGCAGAAAAGCCACTTTATCTTCAAGATCATTATGGCAAATCAGTAGCTCTCCTGGGAATTTATTAACAGCCTAAAAACACTGACAGTTCGGAATTGTGTTTATATTTCAGAATATTGATCTGCATGCACTGACTGGGTGGATACCGGAGAGGATTGCGATGCATTCAGATAGCCAGACCTTCAGTAAGGATAATTCATTCAGAATGCTTTATCAGAGGCAAGTGTGTTTCCTCACTCTTTCCCTTCCTGTTTAAAGGCATCATACTTTATTTAGGGTACGGATGGCAGAAACTGTTTGTTTGTTTTTAGAGAAGTGTGGGTGGACCTCCAACTTGTGATCTTCCTGCTTCAGCTTTCTGGAATCAACCTCTGCGCATACTACCTCCAGCAGAAGCAGTCATTTTACATGTGTGCTAACTGACAGCCTTAGTTGTCCTTAGTTGTGGACACAGTTAATCCAAATTTTGGATGTCCCATAGTTGTTGAATATGGAATGTGGAATGTAGAAAAATCATATGCTCCTGCCAAAGTACTTATCAAATCTGAGGGAAGGTGGGAAAAGAAGTCTCGAGAGTTTAAACTGCAAATGGATAATTAATATGGAGGTTCTGGGAAACTAACAAACGTACAGTATCATAAGTAGGAAACTTGTGATTTGGTAAACAAAGCCAAATCCATTTTGGAGAAGCAAATTTGATATTTCACATCTGTATCCTTGTTTGTAAGGTAAAAATTTAGCACTTGTTTTTCTTCACTGATAGGTTTGTGCCTGGGAATTAAGTTATCCTTGTGGAGTGGTGGGTAATAAAAATGATAATTCATCTGTTAAAATAGCCAGTTTTAAAAACAGTTTTCAAATGTGAAGTTTTGTGTAAGCCAACAGACAGTAAGAAAGACGGTGTGATCTGAGATTTAAAGTGTGTCGTGCTCTGCCTGTCTCTGGTGCCTTTGCAGATTTCACAAAGGGGACGTCCTCATCACTGCATCAACTGGAATGATGACCGAAGCGGAAGGGGAGAAGTGGGGCCTGGTTCCCACACATGCATATGCTGTTTTGGATATTAGAGAGTTCAAGGTTAAGCCTTATAATTTTATTTTTCTTGATTGATAACATCTTATAGTATCACAGTGATCAGACTTTTAGAGCCATTCTACTAATGTATGCAACTTGGTTTCTGCCATGGGAAATTAGGAGACCAAAGGTGCAAATGAAATGCAGTGACACCTTTCCTTCTCCAGAACAGTCACCACAGTTGAGACTGGTACATAGCTCTGACGGGTCCAGGTGGCATGTTGGTGCTTTGGGTTAGTCATGGTAGAAAGCTCAAGGGCATAGATGATATATATCTGTGAAAGGAAATATAGGAAGATGGCTAGGAATAAGAGATATGATTGGGCCTGTGTGCACATGCATTTCTCTTCCTTGAAGTCTTTGCATGCTGTCAGGCCTTGTACAGCCTTTCTCAGTATGTCCTTGGGCATTCTGAGGTCTTCAAATGTATGACCTTATTACTCTGCAGGTTATTGTTATTTTTAAATGAAAAATTGATCAGTTCTCTGCAGTAGAAGATACAAGTGTCCTTCCTTAATTGGATAGAGAGGTGTAATCATTCAGCAAAAGCAGTACCCATTATTTATTAATTAAACTGACAAGTTGGCACACAGAAATAGGTTATTTAGCCCAGGATATAATCCAAGAAATCCATCTGTGATTTTGTTATGCAGACACGAGAGTTTCTTACAGAAGCCTAGATGGTATGGTCTATTATACAGCTAGGCAATATTGTGTCTGTCTGTCTGTCTTGCTCCTAGGGCCTTCAAGAAGAAATACCAGATTAAATCAAACAAGAGAAAATGGCGCAGCAGGAGACACAAGATGTGTGAAGCTGTTGTTAGCTTAAGGCAGCAGCATACAGTTTGACAGTTAAGGCTTTTTTTTTAAGACAGGGTTTTGCCATGTATCTCAGGCTGGCCTTGAACTCCTAACCCTTCTGCCAGCCTCCCAAGCACTGGGATTACAGGTATGTGCCACCATGTCTGGCTCTTTTTTTTTTTTTTTTTCAGTAGGAGTATATTCTAAAATGATGATTAAAAAAAATACAGGGAGTATACAAACTAGTGCCAGAAGTATTTGTCATTATTAGATATTGTGCACTTAGCATAATTATATGTGCTGTACTCTTTACAGTTGACTGTACAAATACAATAGGTTTATTTTTACAAGTCTCACAATAAAAGAAAAGCAAATTTTAAAAAAGGTTAAAAAATTTCAGAATTCCAGAGACAGGGTAGGAAACAAACTAAAGGCCGACCTGGGCTGCACAGTCACCCTGAGGTGTGTAATGAGACCTTTCAAACAACAAATGCATAGTATTTAGCAGTAGTAACTGTTAGTCAGAATATTTTGGCCAGTGATTGTGGTGTGTTCAGTTCTAAACAAACAAGCCTCCTAGCTTACTTAGTTAAAATGTGTATGTATAATGCATTGCAATCTAACCTTAGGATGGCTATGATGTCACAAAGCAGCAGGAATTTTCAGATCCATTATAATCTTAAGTGACCACTGTCGTATATAAGATCCACTACTGGCCAAATGCTGTTGTGACACATAATTGTATAGGAATGAAACGCAGTATGAGCCTGCCACAGCAGTTAAACTTTAAATCCTCCACTGGATGATGTTGCTGAGTGGCAGAGCACTTCAGCAGGCGTGAGGGCATAGATTCAATCCTCAAACCTTGGTAAAACTTTATGATCTTAAGGCTTTATGAATTAGGTAGGATTCTAACCCCAACCATGTTGTATAAAATTGCTTATTTCCTTAAACATGCCAGTAAAATTGAATCCTTAAAGCAAAAAGTAAAAAGTTAATGCAAAGTTCAGGAAAGCCAAAAGGTGTGCTTGTTTTAGGATCGTAGTTTTCTCCACACAGGAGGTGCTACAGTTACTGTCCAGGCCTGGACTCCTTTGTTAGAGCCTCCTGTGAGGTTGGTGTCAGTGCAGTATGAAGAATAGTAAGATAGTGGCCTGTGATTAAGTTTGGTTAGTGAAACCGCAGCCTTTCTAGTTAGATTAGTGTGTTTACACTAATCTTTACAGTATTCTGTACAGATTGAGGCATTTTATTAGAGTATGTGTAACCAAAATAAATTGTGGCCCAGTAATAGTTTTTTCACTAATAATGTTCCCTTTCAGACTGCAGTCATGTGCATTGTTGCCCAGCTCTCGCAGTTTTATAACTTGCAGAGTGCCCAGTTTAAGCTTGTTTGTGAATTTCATGCTGTCAGAGTTGATCTTTGCCCAAATTCTGGATGTGTGTTGAAACTGAAAGCTTTAACTGGTGTTCTTTAATTGTGTATAAATTTGAACCTTTCCTGGGCTTGTCCTTTATTGTGTGTGTGGTTTTATTTCTGCTGTATTTAATCTTTGAAACATTTACTCAAATCTGCCCCCCCCCCCCCTTTTTAAGAGGGGGTTTTACTATTTTGCCCTAGCTGACCTGGAACTCAGAGATCTGCCTTTCAAGTGTTGTAATTAAAGGCATATGCCACCATGCCCTCCCAATTTTGACTTCCTTCTAAAATGTTATTATGCCTATATGACTTCTTTTCAGTCTTAAAACTACTTAAAATCTCATTTGTGACTTTTATTAATATATTCCTAAAAGTATTGTGTGTGTGTGTGTGTGTGTGTGTGTGTGTGTGTGTGTGTGTGTGTATCTGTATCTAACAAGCTTGCATGGTCTGTCATCTTTATTTCCATTTCCATCCTCCTTCAATTCTGTGCCTTCTCCTGGAAGGACTGTCCCATAGTTTATTGTAAGGCACATCCGTGGTTCAAGGCCCTTGCTTTTCTGTCCACTAACCTTACAGCATTTCTTAACCTATATTAAGACTTTCTCCTTTGCTGGAAATAACTAGAATTTGTATGTTGTAGCATATACTATTTTTTTTTCTGAACTTTTCTTGCATTTCTTCCTCTGTTCTGGGCCCTTTCTGCTTATCAGTAAAATCTCCAATCACATGCCTTTGAATGTAATGTCTCTGATGCCTAATTCTGCCTCTGGACAGTTTAGCCGAAATTTCTACTCCTTTATGCTCCCCTTTTAGAAAATGTTGATGTGAATTAAGAATTGATACTTGATAATTAATGAAGTTTATTCTAAGAAGATTATAACATGGTAAATCTCTTTCAATTTAATGTTATCTTTTGTTGTTAATCTTTTTGTTTTATTTTGTCTTTTAATATAGGGCCTGCGATTTATCCAGTTGAAAAACCCTTGGAGCCATTTACGCTGGAAAGGAAGGTACAGTGAAAATGATGTGAAAAACTGGACCCCAGAATTGCAAAAGTATTTAAACTTTGATCCCCGAACAGCTCAGAAAATAGATAATGGTAAATACCTCTTTGTATCTTTAATACCATTTTGGAATTGGGAGGTGTGTATGAGTACCTGTGTGTGCATGCATATGGAGGTCACAATTCAATATCAAACATCTTCCTCTGTTGCTCTCCACCTTACTTTTTGAGAACAAGGTGTCTCACTGAACAAGGAGCTTACTGATTGACTAGCCTGGCTAGCCAGCAAGACCCCAGGATCCTCCAGTCTTTGCCTCCCCAGTACTGGGAACATATACACACACTGGCATACCCAGCTTCTGTATGGGTGCTGGAGATGGGCGCAGGTCCTCATGCTTGTGCTGTAAGCACTTTGTTGACTAAGCCATCTCCCTAGCCTTTACTTACTTACTTTTATGTATGTATTTTGTCTGCATGTGTGTATATGCACCAAATGTGTGCAGTCTCTACAGAAGTCATAAGAGAATTCTTTGGAAACCAGGGTTACACATGAGTGTGAGACATTGTGTGGGTGCTAGGAACCAAATCCAGGTCCTCAAGAGCAGCAAGTACTAACACTTGCTATCTCGAGCTCCTCCAGCCCTTTAATATCATTTCAAGATGAGATAGACTGCTGGGCGGTGGTGGGTGAGTTAATCCCAGCACTTGGGAGGCAGAGGCAGGCGGATCTCTGTGAGTTCGAGGCCAACCTGGTCTACAAGAGCTAGTTCCAGGACAGGCTCCAAAGCTACAGAGAAACCTTGTCTCGAAAAACCAAACAACAACTAACTAACTAAATAACTATAACTAAATAACTAAATAAATAAAAGATGAGATAGACCTGTCTCAAGAGTTTCTAATTTTTATTGTTATTTTTTACATATGTAGGTGTTTTGCCTGAATGTATATCTATATAGTATGTGTGTGCTTGGTGATACTGGAAGTGGATCACTGAAATGGAGTTAAAAAGAGTTGTGGGCCATCGAATGGGTGTTGAGATTGAGTCTGGGTTCTCTGCAGAGCAGCCAGGTGCTCTTAACCACTGAGTCTTCTTATTTATTGCTAAGATATGTTTTAGATTAACAAAGACATTTAATTTTTAGGAATATTTTGGATTTCCTGGGATGATCTTTGCCAGTATTATGATGTAGTATATTTGAGTTGGAATCCAGCTCTTTTTAAAGAATCAACTTGCATTCACAGGTAAGTTTTTATACATTTTAGAGTATGTGTCATTAGTCTCTACATTTGAAAGATTTAAAAATTTTAAAATTTATGTGGCAAATGAGAAATGGGGTTTGCACATGTGTGCATGTGTCTGGGAAGCCAGAAGAGGATGGATGTTGGGTTCTCAGGAGCTGGAGTTACAGGCCGCTATGAGTCACCCAAAATGGGTTCTGGGAATTGAACTCAGGTCATTTATAGGAGCAGTACATGCTCGTAACGACAAGCTGTCTCTCCAGTGCCTATTCTCCACATTAAAATTTTTAAATACAGTGATCAATTCAGGAGGACCATCAGCCCCTCTTTTTGGTTTTCCTAGTAGACATTTTTTCGATATTAGTTTATTACACCAAAAACTTTTTACAGGATGAAACAAAAAAAAAATTCTGATAGTTACTACCATGTGTAGCAATGGTAGTCCACACCTTTAAGACCCACCTGTTACATAGTGAGTTCCAGTACAGCCAGGGCTACACAGAGAAACCTGTTTTGAAAAATAATAATTAATTAGGGCTGGAGAGATGGCTCAGTGGTTAAGAGCACTGGCTGTTCTTCCAGAGGACAGAGTTCAATTCTCAGCGCCCACATGGTAGCTCACAGATGTTTGTAACTCCATTCTAGGGAGGGATATGACACCTTCATACTAATGTATATAAAATAAAGTGAAATAATTTTTAAAAAGAAAAAATACTTAAAAAAATTTTTGATAGCTTATTTGCATTTGAAGCACATCACTTTTTTTTCCTGTTTTTTTTTATTGATAGTTATTGAGCTCTACATTTTTCTCTGCTCCCCTCCCTGCTTCTCCCCTCCCCGCTTCAAGCTCGCCCAAGTTCCTATGCTCCCAATTTACTCAGGAGATCTTGTCTTTTTCTACTTTTTTCTTCCCATGTAGATTAGATCCATGTATGTCTCTCTTAGGGTCCTCATTGCTGTCTAAGTTCTCTGGGATTGTGGCGTGTAGGCTGGCTTTCTTTGCTTTATGTTTAAAACCACCTATGAGTGAGTACACGTGATAATTGTCTTTCTGTGTCTGTGTTACCTCACTCAAAGTATTGTTTTCTAGCTCCATCCATTTTCCTGCAAAATTCAACCTGTCGTTATTTTTTTCTGCTGTGTAGTACTCCATTGTGTAAATGTACCACATTTTCCTTATCCATTCTTTGGTCGAGGGGCACTTGTCCTTGTGGCACAATTGAGCATCTTTTGGATATATACCCAAAAGTGGTATTACTGGGTTTTTAGGAAGATTGTTTCCTAATTTTCTGAGAAATCGCCACACTGACATCCAAAGGGGTTGTACCAGCTTACATTCCCCCAGCAATGCAGAAGGAAACTCATTACTTTATTTAATTTTTTCAAAACAGGGTTTCTCCGTAGCTTTGGAGCCTGCCCCGGAACTAGCTCTTCTAGACCAGGCTGGCCTCGAACTCACAGAGATCCTCCTGCTTCTGTCTCCCAAGTGCTGGGATTAAAGGCCTGAATCATTGCCAGTAGTATTTAAAAGTTTAGTTGTGGACTAGAGAGATGGCTCGGCAGTTAAGAGTTCTTGTTGGTCTTATAGAGAACCCAGGTTCATTTCCCAGCACCCACATAGTGGCTTACAATCATGTTAGCTCCAGTTCCAGAGGATCTGATGCCCTCTTCTGATCTCCTCAGGCACCAAACACACATATCATGCACATAGATACATGCAGACCAAATATTCATATGCATAAAATAATAAAGAAGTAAATATCAAAATAGATTAACTTTTTAAAAAAAGTTTAAAAATAGCTTTATGGGAAATTTAATCATTGCTGTCATTTGTTGATTTTTCTTTTAGTTCTTGGGATGCTAAACAAGGACCTGTGAAAGATGCTTATAGCCTGGCCAACAATCCCCAGTACAAACTGGAGGTGCAGTGTCCACAAGGGGGTGCTGCAGTTTGGGTTTTGCTTAGTAGACACATAACAGACAAGGTACGGATACCTTCTAATGCCACATTCACCTCATAGAAATTTTTTCAAATATAATTGTTAGAGCCATAGTTAGTTCCATGTATATAGAAGGTCTGAAAATGTTTTCTCAAGTAAATGATTGTTATCACCAGGTCAGTTTCCTTAAAATTATACACTAAAGTCTTAATCAGATTTCTCTGAAGGAGAAGTTTGCTTTTCAATGAGAACATAAGGGTTGATACATACTTTGGAATTTATGAATATTAAGCTAGACTATTCTGGAAGGGATTTGGAAATGTTGGATCATTAGTTTTGATTGTAGAAAGGTTTACTGTAATCGTAATCATTCACATAGTCATTTATTCAGAAAAGCATGGTTCCTATAGAACTAAGTAGCTGAGTGTTCTTGAAAATGAGTTCAGTAGGCATTTAGAATAGAGAACATCCGGAGTCCGTTTTCCTAACCACCTTGTGTTCTCTGTGATTTTAGGATGACTTTGCAAATAACCGTGAGTTTATCACAATGGTTGTGTACAAGACTGATGGCAAGAAAGTCTATTACCCAGGTAAGTTCTGCTGAGCAGACATTGAATGCTCTTATTTCTATATTGAGTTGAAGAGGAAAGACTTTGTATATAGGTGACATGTAGAAATCAATGATGATTATGCTGTTAGGCTAATAAAATAGCAAAACAGCTTGGGTATTTAGGTCTTGTTTTTAATTTTGAGATTCTTGGAATTTGGGTTTATATGTTCTTGTACATACCACTAGAACTTGATTTCTAAGAGGTGCAAAAGTCTACAAACCGCCCAAAAGAGAACAGAGGGAAGATGACATGGCTTGATTTTGTGTTTAAAAAGTATTGAGTTTCTTCTCAACATTTGTTAGTTACAGCCCAAAATGAAGCAATTTTCCTTGAGAAATGATGGTTTGACCTTGGGTTGTTGTTGTGTAAGGTAAAAAGGACAGATATGTATTTCAGTAAGGACCCTGGAATCAGGTGTAATAGTTAATAAGGTGGATAAGAATTGGTCAGATGCAAGGAGGAAGCAGATTTATGTTATAGAGTAAAATCATATGTTAATTTTTGGCTTGTTAAGTTTGAGGTAATATGACTTCCAGCTTAGGATTCCAAGGATTTCTGAGCAGGAATATAAGGCAGGTTAAGGACTTGAGGTGCAGATTGATGAGGCAGAGGCATATAGGTAGCGTTTGAAGCCTGTACTGTACAAACCATATTTGGAGAGGGCTGTAGATAGAGTTGAATGCCCAGGACTGATCCCTAGGTTCTCATACGTCTTGAGGCTGGGCAAAGGAGTTGGTACTATTACTGGAAAACTTGATCAGGATGCTTGATAAAACAATTGATGATATAGTGAGGTTTGATAGAACCTAAGCTGTCTGAGAGGTCAGAGAAGATACCGTTGGACTTAACATCTGGTAGTCATTGTTGACCTTGACAAGAACAGACCAGTCCGAAAGGTAGCTCTAGAGAGGATCAGAATGAGTTGATGTTTTTCTTTGTTCAGTCATAAAGGAAAATATGAATTCTTCACTATTACACCGGTTATGGAAGGCACTAAACCATAGTAGTCAGTATCTCAGTTTTGCAACTGGCATGACATGTAAGGTCCAGAGGTCATCAAGTCAAACTAGCTGTTTTCAAATGTTAATCATTATATAACTAAAAAAAGAAATTCCATGCAGGAGAATTTTATATGGCTTTATAATATCAAATACATTTTATTATCTACTTTTAAAACTAAAGGTTTTTTTTTATTGTTTCTTAGTTAAACAGTGTTCCCTTTTTTATGTGTAGTGATTTTTCAGGATACTTCTAGGGTTACAGTTTTATTTTCATCACACTAGATCAGGTATTTTTGCTCTCCATTAACAAAATAAACAGACACAGATTAAAAACTTAGCCCATGGGCTGTTGAGAAAGATGTTGGCTGCCAAGTTTGACAACCTTAATTCAATCCTTGTAATCCATATGGTGGAAGGGGAGACTGACTCCCTCAAGTTACCCTCTGACCTCCACATGTGCACACACACAAATCACTGTTAACAAAACCCCCTTTGTAAAAAGCCCCACTAAATCATTAGTGAAAGGAAGATAAGATTAGTAGTTAAGAGGAACTTTAAGAAACTGATTTTACATCTTCCAAGGTTTATTTAGTTCTGGGTGGGGCTAAATAGATGTCTTTATATAACTTTTTGTGTCTTTAAAAAAATGTTAACCTCCAAGGAAGCTAATCCTGGCTCTGAAAATCTTTTCTATAAACTCGATGTGTATGCAGCTGACCCACCTCCATACATTGATGGGATTCGGATCAACAGTCCTCATTACCTGACTAAGATAAAGCTGACCACGCCCGGGACTCACACCTTTACCTTAGTGGTTTCTCAGTATGAGAAACAGAACACAATTCATTACACAGTCCGGGTAAGAAATTAACCAACCATGAACCAGCCATGCAGTGACAAAACACAGTAATAAGGGTCTGTGCCATGTTCTGCTTTATAAGTGAGGCCATTTGAGATAGTCTTGCTATGTGTGGCTTCAAGGACTATGTAGCGCAGGCTGGTGTTGAATTCATATACTCTTACCTCAGCTTCTAAAGTGCTAGAGAAAAGAATTATTTCTGAAAATCATTTTGTTTTTGTATGTTTATTAAATAATTATGCTTCCTTAAAAATGTAAATTGTACTTTACTTTGAATAACATTTTGAGTGAACACACTTCATAGTGATTGTTTATTCCTGAGGTAATGTGGTATATTGGATTAATAAGTGCAATTAAATGGCAACTTTCAGTAGGGCACAATGATGGCAGCACACACCTGTAAAACTTGATCTCAAGTTCAAAGCCAGCTTGAAACCTCACCTTAAGCCTCCAGAAAAGTTTTCAACTGTTTACTTATATTGCTTCAAAGGTCACTGTCCTTCAGTTGTACATAGATTTGTCACATGTAAGAAGTTCAATTTGAATGGAATGTTTTGTCCCCCCCCCCCCCGAGACAGGGTTTGTCTGTAACTTTGGGGCCTGTTCTGGAACTAGCTCTTGTAGACCAGGCTGTCCTTGAACTCACAGAGATCCTCCTGCCTCTGCCTCCTGTGTGCTGGGATTAAAGGCATGTGCCACTACCACCCAGCAACTTGAATGAATTTGTAATGATAAAAGAGATGTTGGGAGCTTCGTTCCCCAGTTGCAGAAACTAAGGCTGGTAAAACTGTCCTGAGTCATACACAGTAACAGACTAAGCCAGAATCCTCTAGTTCCTGGTTACCTAAGTTCTACTTGATCCCAACTAGTATTTTAGCTGTAGAATAGATCCAGTGTATTCCCTTAATCATTGTGATTAATTCCTGTGACATTTCTCAGAATAATCTTTGGTGGGCCTTACCATGTTTTTAAATCTAGGTATATTCAGCGTGCAGCTTTACTTTTTCGAAGATCCCTTCACCATATACCTTATCAAAACGGGTAAGAAAGTCTGTCAGTTGTAATCTCTTTTTAGAAATCCATTTCATTGTCATTGAAACACTTTATGGGATTTTACAGAAATAAAGGGAAAAAGTGTTTGCTTATTTTGATTAGAATAAAAGATCGGTGAGCAACATTGTTTTTATAGAAATAGAAAACAAGTAATTCTAGAGACAGGATTAGGATAGCCTTGCTTATCAGAATTCCACTTAGATGAACTGAAAGAGAATTTGAAAATAGTTTGCAGTGTGGGTAAAATAAATACGCAGAAGAGTCTAAGAGAGAATTCCTGGTAGGGAGAACAATTTAACTGAGTGAGAGGCTGTGTATAGTAAAGCAACCTGGCTGAAGGAAGACAGGCTGTCAGTGTCAAAGATTGGAGAAACGTTAAAACTGGGGTGGAATCAGAATGTGAAATTTTGTTATGACAAACTTTATTTTATAGATTAATGGAAAGTGGAGTGGTCAGAGTGCCGGAGGATGTGGAAATTTTCAGGAGACTCACAAAAATAACCCCATCTACCAATTCCATATAGATAAAACTGGACCGTTACTGATTGAACTGAGAGGACCAAGGTTTGTGATTTGTAGCTGCCTTTTTTTTTCTTTTGTGCTGCAGATGACCCTAGGGCTTTGTGTTTGTCAGCAACCACTCTAGCACTGAGCTATGTTTTTATTAACTTAGAATCCTTAGTTTTAAATTAATGAAGATATATCAAAACTGACCTTAAGGGAACATTTGGAAACAAATCTGTGCAAACATAGGCAAAGGATTTTTGATAATTACGGCATTAGAAAGGGGAGGTCGCCCTTAGTAAGTGTCCGTGTATGATAGTAATTTCACCTATCTCACACCAGGCCTAAAAGTCAGTTCTAGATTACAGACTAGATGTTAAAAGTAAACAATAATTTTTAGAATATAATACAGATGATATCTGGTATGAAATGCAGTTCAGCATTTTTTTCCTGTGAATGAGTGTGTCTTGGAATGCCGTACGAGCCACACAGTAACTATTCTATGAATTTAGATTTTGAGGGCTTTCTTCTGTTCTGTAGATTTTCTGTCAGTCACAATGACAGTCTTTCATTTAGAAATTTGTTAAATGATGTTTTATCTTTTATATTATTCCCTTGGGAGCCTGTAGTTTAAAAAAAAATCTAGTTGGGAGTGATGGCACAATGCCTTTAATTCAGCACTCAGGTGGCAGAAGCAGAGAGATCTGAGTTCAAGGCCAGCTTGGTCTACATAGTGAATTCTGGGACAGTCAGGGTTACTTTCTGAGACCCTGTCACAAAAAGCAAAAGTCTGTGTTAAGGTAAGCTTGATGCATTATTAGTCTTTATGGATTCCATTTTAAAACTAGATAGAAATTGTGAGTAAAAACAGTATGCAGAGTTTTAGAGTGCTTTCTTGTTGGTAAAGAGTGGAGCACACACATACATACTTTAGTAGCTCACCTATACTTTACAGTGTCTTTTAAACTGTTTACTAACATAGCAGTGCTATTTGATTTCTAATACTAGGCAATACAGTGTTGGATTTGAGGTGGTAGCAGTTTCCATAACGGGAGATCCTGGTCCTCATGGCTTTCAGAGGAAATCTAGTGGTGACTATAGGTAACTGGCATTTTGTGTGTGTTCAGTGTACACTTTATGTGACATTATGGTCACATAATAACCTTATTCTCATTTTCCTTCAATATAGGTGTGGATTTTGCTACTTAGAATTGGAAAATATACCTGCTGGAATCTTTAATATCATCCCAAGTACTTTTTTGCCTAAACAAGAAGGACCTTTTTTCTTGGACTTTAATAGTACTGTCCCCATCAAGACAACACAACTCCAGTGATAGAGAAATCTCAGCTATTACTGGATTCTATGTTTTGCAGTCATCAGCTCTTCAGACAGAGACAAATTATGATGGTAAATCATCCGAATGCAATTCAATCAAAGACATGTTACAGTGAAACCTGGTACTTGTCATGCTGTTTGCTAAGAACTGTACATAATCACTTACAAGTACTGTTTACATGGTTTTGTGCATACAGAGTTGGCATGTATTTAGGGGCTAACTTTGTATAAAAATTATATGATTACAGATTAGATTCAGCTATCACTGTGAGATGCTTTTGCTAACAGGACAAAGGAACTGAAACAAGATGAGGACAACAAGGGCCACAGATCCACTGAGTGCAAGAGCAGGCTATTTTAGTATCTTGAAATACTTACATTATGTTTCCCGTTTTTACAGAGCACGTAAGTTTAACCTGTTCATGTTGAATCCCACCATACATCTGAGGCAACTAATTACCAAATGAATCATGCCATTATAACTAATTCGAATTTTCCATTGTGTGTTTAAATGTTTGTTGCCTAGATGTTATGAAAGAATAAAGCTTTAAAAAGTACCATTTAGCTTAGCATGAAGATGCTCAGGCTTAAGAATGAAGGTTCTCAGTGTTAGATACATCAATTCATTGTAGAGAGAGAACTGAGGTATATTTATTGTTGCCATTTTTAAATTCTTAGCAGGTTGGTGAAATGTAGTAATCTGAGACTGGAAATGTTAAAGTTTAGTGTATAGAGCTTTAAACTGCTCCGTAGTTGGTGCTTTTGTAACAGGAATTTGGAGAGTCCTTGAGACTTTAGTATGTGGTGATCGAGTTATACAGCATTCATAAAAAGTGAGTTACCAGGAATTAGTGTTGTGTAAATTCCCATTTGTTTACATAACAATACAGAATGATGCTCAAGATTTTAAAATTCTGAAAAATAGAATGGGATCTGTTACTGTCTCTACTTTATAATTATCAAAACTATTTCTACTGCCTTTAATTGAAATAAAATATTTATACTTATGGAAACTATATAGTTTAACCTCCAGAACTTGAATTAATCTACTGTGGTTTTTTGTAAAAGACAGATGTATATTGAAAATAGATGCTTCAACGATTTTTTCTTTTTCTTTTTTTAAAGTTTTGAGACAGGGTTTCTGTGTTGCTTTGGAGCCTGTCCTGGAACTCTCTAAGCCAGATTGGCCTCCACTCAGAGATCCGCCCGCCTCTGCCTTCTGAGTGCTGGGATTAAAAGCCTGTGCTTCAAGGATATCTTAATTCAGTAGTTGGAAGGTCTTTATCAATGAAATTTTACTTAACTAAACTCTTAGGACTTTTGATTTAGCCATATAAACTTGAAATGTGAGGATAAGGGTTAATTTTTGCATTGAAAAACCTAATAGAAGGCTGAGAGGCAGCTCATTGGCACAGCACTTAGCATGCCCAAGGTCCTGGGTTCAGTCCCCAATAGCACAAAAACAAAAACCCAGTGGAGAAGACCTATATGTAAACAGTATTGATTCGTGTAAGCAAGCTCCATGGAGAGTCCACTAGTCTACGGTAAGACTGGACCAGTGACACACACACATTTCAAGAACTGCCATTTGAACTTGGAAGCTTCAAATACAGAAAAGAAAAACAGCCAGGGATTATGTTTTCATTATGAATTTACTCATCATGCATACTCTTTTTAATCTTCCCAGTGGCTAAATCAAGTGTAGGCACTAGTCCTACAATCCCGCAGCCCCGCTGCTTTCTATGTGGGGACAGCAGGCTGGCATTGACAGTTGGATCTGTGTTGTAGGAAGGTGATTTTATTGAATCAGAAGCACAATAGTGGAACAGATTTTTTAAAAAAGGGAAAAATTAGAAATTGCTAGTGAGAGGAGGGAGGGGATGGCTCAGGTTATCTCATTTCAGTACATGCATAGATGCTGAGCTTCAAGAAACTCCCCCTTGACACAAAAAAGGAAATTATCCAGAAAAGGTTATATCCTAAAATTAGTAGTACATGGTTTGTGGTCACCTTGGGGGGGAAAAAAGTCCCAAGAGGGCCAAAAACTGAAATTGGTTAGTAGCTGAATTTCAGACATGGTGACCACAAAGACGAACAAGAAGAGCGTAAAGAAGTCAAAATAACAGTGATGGTACACTGTTGTGTCTCATTTGGACACATGAGAGGAAGTGATGTGAGACAGGAGCCAGGGTCAGAGGTCATGCATTCCCTTTCTGATGTAGGAGACAAGCAGGTGGCAGACTGATGGGGTCGGGAGAAGCCAGATTATGAAGCCCCAGTGCTCAAGTAAGGGATATAGTGCTATGCTTCCCAACATAAGAAAATCCATCTGCCATAAATGCTCATGAGATTTTACCATGTGACTCCAACTTAAAAGGCAGATATAAGGACCAACATTCAGGGTGACAGGTACTTGATCCTGTGGTGGATCCTGAACATTAGAGTACACAGCTTTACTCATTTTCCCATCCTGTCAACATTTCTGAGGTAATGTCTCGGCTGCAGACAGCAGAGCAGTTGAAAGCGACTAACAGTAATGGGCAAAGCTAGCTAGGATGTCATCCTACAACACATTTCAGTGTGTAGCATATACATTAAAATCCAATACTCTCAGCTTCCTATTAGAAAAAGCACTTTAGAGCTAGACTGAGTCAGGTGAAACCATATTGCAGGATTGTAACTCCCCACCCCAGTCATCCCCAGGAGACTACACTGACCAGTGAAGCAGAGACCCTCTTTTCTTGGGCCTGTTTCTGCCTGCCTCTGTCTCTCCTCGATGCTCCCCTTTGTAACACCAAAGGTGGAATGCTAATCCAGACCTTGGGATTTTGAGCTTAAACTACCAGGATGAAATGAGAGCAGATGCTACAGCATCCCATGGTGCTTCTCAACAAAGCAAGGAACGTCCCAGAGTGGAAAACTGACAACAGTGGCTTTCTCAGCAGAAGTCACAAAGTTTTCTTAGTTTTTATTACCCTCAAGGTATTAAAACAAGTACAAAATAACCTTGTAATTAGGATACTGTATCCATCAATAAAAAAGAAGAAATCACTATTGTATGAAGCTATACACACATGGCTAAAATATACAAGCTGTGACAGAATTAAAAGACAATTTGAAATGGGGAGTTGCTTTCTTCAGAAAAGCCAAATCAATAAAACAGGATAAATAAAATACAGTGCCCTAAATATGCATAAGTATAAACACTAAGAATCTAAACACACTACTATTGGCATAACATCCACTGTTTCTATTTCCCAGCCCCTGCCAGCACATGCCTACTCCCTCTAAAGAATACTAGGTGCAGCATAAACCATAAATAGTCTCAGTCTAGATAGAACAGTGGCATGCACTTCTAGAATAAACCCCCTCGGCTGGCAGGCTAAGGTTAGACTGTAAACCTCCCACAACCACAAACCCCGTATGCTATGTCCCTGCTCCCTCATTCCCCATCCCCATATTGGCATTCATTCACCTTTCCCACCCCCAAAAAGTGCAGTTCATGGTACCTTTCCTAGGAAATGGTTATAATGGGTGTCCCAGAAGACATGCTTTTTTTTAAAAAAAAAATCCCTCTCTGTGCACCAGAGGTGATGAAAATGAAATTGTGTTTTTGGCATTGTTTTTGAGATTGGGTCAAAACAATGTGTTCTGAACACTTGAGTTTCTGTTTGTGTGAGTTTTGAAATTATTTTGGTGCCCTGTGATATAATGGAGAGAACATCTCAGTTTCCCCAAATAGAGGGGACAGAGATGTAGGCTGGTGACCCCAGTCTGGTTAAGTGTCCAGTTCCCCTCCTGACTCGGGTTCTTTCACAGAAACTAGTTATTGCTTCTACACTGCCGCTACAAGGGAACATTCTGCAAAGGCTGTGACCCTGGTCACAGTTTACCTGCAATGGCTCTGCTCTGAAAAACACCAGCCCAAGAGCTCTTACCAGAGGGAAATGCTTCAGCCCTCAAGGTCACTGAAACTTGGTTAGTGCAGTTTAGAGTAAATGCATACTATCTGGCTTATGTTAAATGAGTATTGGCACGATGTTTCTCAAGTTTCATGTATAAATGTGATTTGCACATGGGCCATAGCCCTGGGAGAGTCAGCCAATCTGCACCGTTTTTATGTCAGCGATAATCCCATCTCTTCCTTTTGAGCACTGTAGGGAGAGGTGCTTCATACGGGTTCCCAAGGCCTGGCCTTCAGGGGATGTGCTGCTTTGGCTCCTGCCCTTGCCACCACCACTGTTGCTGTGAACACGGTTGTTGTTGGCTCTGTCACTCGTTTTATTCTCAGCCCCTTCCGCTCTGTCTCCTGTAGAGACACAAAGGTTGCCGAATGAGAGCTGACAGTTCCAGTCGCCTAAGCCCTCTACAATTCCCACTGCCACCCACCATGCATCTCAGGGGTTCTCCAGCATTGGATGACACACTGTATTTATCCCTTAGTGTGTATCCTGAGATTTATCATCCTCACTTTGGAGTTAGGAAGCAAACCTCTCTAGCAAGGAACCTTCCAAGGGGATTGTTCTAAGGAGAGACTCGGGGCCTAAATTCTGTAATGATTGAAGCTGACCAGGCAGAGTGTCAGGGGTCGAACTTACCTCGTTCCACCTCACATTCGGGGGAGGAGGCCCCACTGCATTCACTTCGAGGGCCCAGTATTGGAAACATCATTCCAAATTCAGACAGGGACACGGGGCTGGGCAGATCCAAGCTGCCAGGCCTTGCCACTGCAGGGAACTGGTCAGGCATTTCAGATGGACTTGTTGGTCCTGAACTAAAGCTGGACACAGACTGAGTTTCTGAGTCGTCTTCAGACACTAAGTTGCTGCAGTTGTCATCTTCAAAGGCTTCGGAAGCCACTGTGGTGAGAGAGCATCAGTCACATGGAGCCTGCTAACAAATGGCCCAGGTCCCTAAAGGCTTGCAAACAAGCGCTCTGCTGGCAGGCAGTCCCACAGCATGGAGTGCAGGTTCTACAACCATCCTGAGCCTTCTGACTAGCCTCCAGCTAGGTCCAATAGAAAGTCCGTGTTCTAGAAATAAAATTAACTCCTGCTCTATAATTTTATGCCAGCAGGTACTACTGAGAGAAGGGATAGCTAGGGTAAAGCACATGTCTAGCATATACAAAGGCCTGATTTCACTTCCCAGCACTGAAGAAAAGGGAAGATAAATTTAGACACTAGCCCTTTGTGATGTGTCCTACAGAGGCAATCTTACAATGAAGACTGAAGGTCTTCCAGCATAAGCAGTAGTTGTTACTGGAAAGGGCAGTTCTGCATGGAATGTATGTCTGTAGTAACTTTTGATCTCATAAGCCAGCCTAGACCACTGTTTGCAACAAAGAACAACACTCATTTACAGTGTTCTGGATGTGCCTGTTTGTGCACCAGAATAACCAAGGCTCAGAGACACGCCATTCTTGTTTTCAGAGCCTCTCAGCCTGCATTCTCACTTTAAGATCCTTCCTAGTTCCCATTATGCCTATGGCATCTTTAAAAATGGTCTTCTAGCATTCCAGAGAGGGTTGTTATAAGTACTATACTGCTTGAGACAGACTGAATTTAGATCTGGGCCCCACTGTTGACTGTGTGGCCTTGTCAAGCTACCTGACTGCTGAAATGCTTTATGTACAGGATTAATGAAGTGATATAAAGCAACTTATTCATAGCTATTGATTACATTATAGTTTCATTTCCCTTCAACCTGGCGATTCAACCTTTGTTGATGGCCTTCAAGAATTACTGAGGATGGGACTAGAGAGGGCTCAGTGGTTAAGAGCATCTGCTGCTTTTCCAGAGGACCCAGGCTTGATTTCCAGCACCCACATGGGAGCTCATAACTGTAATTCCAGAATATCCAGTATCCTCTTCTAACACCAAGCAAGAATGTGGTATATGTAGATACATGTAGGAAAAGTACTCATGGCACAAATTATTTTTAAAAATACTAATAAGGAAAATAAAAAAGAATAGCTGAGGAAGGCGCCTAAGAGCCACAATGGATTATTCCACAGGAAAAGAGAAGCTGCAGTGTTCACTGTCACAGGGTAGCTTTCCTGATTAACAGAAAGTAGGTCAGTCCTCTATCTGCACAGGATATCCCTGGACAGAAGAGACCCATGTGCTCAGACCCCAGGGAGAGCTGCTAGCTGTCACTTCTCACAACCCTCCTGACCACTCTACCCAGCAGAGAAGACACTATCCCCACCACACAGCTGAAGCAGCTAACACGCCAAGACCCCGGCTAGCCCACTCCATCCCGTAGTAGAGTGGGGTCTGAATCAGATCTGGGTCTCGGGTCCCTTTAATCTTCCCTCAATGTCTTAAAGTCTTGAACGTTCTAAAGTGAACTTAAGACCCTCTGAGAAGGGTAAGGGTAAAGATGGAACATTTCCCAAACCTGCTTGATCATGGAATGCTAACATTCAGTAGCAATCCAACAAACACTGTCCCACAAATCATGAGAAGTTACCAGAGAGCCTGCAGGGCTGCCCAACTCTCCAATTCTTTAGTGACGGGCAAAAGACGGGGCCTGTGGGACAAGATGGCCCTGAAAGCAGATCACATATGCTGTGTGGTCCCTGCTGGCCAGACTCACCAGAAATGGCATCAGGCTCAGGTTTGCTCCCAGACAGCTTCTCCACTGATATGCTGCTGCCCTCAGCCCCGACGCCACAGCCCCGAGGCCCCATGGCATTGGAACGCCGGCGCTCGTGGATCTCATCTGAGATTCTCTCCAGACTCTTCAGGGCTGCCTTATACTCGCCTTTTGCCAGGGCCAGCTTGGCCTGAAGGTCATCCACTGTCTTCTTCAGTTGCTGATTGGGAAGATGGAGGACCTGGTAAGCCAAAGTGGCTCTGTACATCCCCATTGAGAGAGGGGCTACAGATGACTACAACAGAACTTTCTAGAACACCCAAGACATGACCTAAGGAAGATCCAGTTACTTTTATTGTGGCTAACCATCTTCACTGTAAAGAAGAGCACTATCATCTCAACACCGGTCCATGTGACACAAAAATATGCAGAAACAGTTATTAATGGAATGCAGCCCTCAGAGAAGGAACAGTACACTTGGTCACAGATAAGTTCTTGGTCCCATATTTGAAATCATCTGTAGAGCCCCTTCCAGTGTAGACTGCTGATCCAGTCCCCAAAGGTTCTGGAAGTAAATGGAGAGCCTGGGAACTCTACTATAGAAGTTTCTGGGACTGCTCGTCTTAGGCACTCACACCAAGATGGAATAAGTTAGTACCATTCAGTGAAAGTGAGCAGTGAGCAGCAAATAGCACCAGATGACACACAACGCCCAAGACCTCTTGAGTACTGAGGTGGAGGAACATGTTTCTCTGTCCTCTCCTCACATGGGTCATTCAAAGGCCTGCACCACACTAGAGTTTGGGGGGGGGGAGGACAAAACAGTGACAAATCCAAGGTCACACATACCTCGAGTTGCACGTAGTACTTTGCCTTGAGCTCAAAATAAGGCCTGCAGAAGACAGGAAGAAATGGTAAGAATATGATCTTACGGTCAACTCCTATAGATAAATCCACTACAGCTGGTTAGGCCATGGCAGCGACACAGACGCCAGCAGAGCTCCTGGCTCACCCAAGGCCTCTTCATTCCCATCTCAAAATCTTAGAAACTATGCATCCTGGTTCCTTCTACCCCAGCAGACTGCTCGGGTCTACTGACCAATAAAAAAGATGGAACTGAGGAACAGGCTGCTGAAAACGCTTCCTCTGCTGGGACCAATTGGAAGAAAGCAATAACACTCCCTGTCTGCTGGGCATAGCAGGACCACCACTTCCTCAACCTCAAATCGGTCCTCTTGTACAGTGATTAAGGCTAAGTGTTAGTGAGCTAACCAGAGGTGACAGGCAAGGAAAGAGATACGACCCCTGGACTCTGGGTCAGACAGAAAAGCTGGCACTTATAGCAACTTTGGTGTCTGAGCTATTTCTCGTCCATCAAATTCCTTAGTCCTGCATCTGTAATTGCTGAGGGTGATACATTGGAGGACCCCTTTGGTGTGTAAGCAAAATCTGAAATGTGGGTATAAGTGACCAAATGGGGTGGATATCAACCCAGCCAAGGTGCAGAGAAAGTGTGGTAGGTGTATGAGATTCCCAGGTGAAGGAAATGTGAACTTGTCAAAGTGAACAAGGGAAGCAGGTGTAACCAAAGCAGGAGGGGGAGGCTCCTGAAGCCATTCCATGGAAAGCACAGAAGTCATCAGAAGTATCTGGAGAGACTGACAGTATGGCCACAGGAGTTTATTTCCTTAACAGGTTAGTCATTGAGTGAGCAGGTCAAACGTGAGAAGAGTGTACAGAAGGCACCATGGACTTTAAATTCCACAAATCACACCAGACAAAGCAAGCACGGAAGCTTCCCCTCTGCAATAGGGGAGGGAAGGACTTTCCAGGATCCCTCACCACCTCTCCCAGCTGTGTCCCCTGGAAGCGCAGTGGCAAACAAAGCGTTTTCTCTGATGCATGGATATGTGTGTTGAGGGAGCAGGCAGAAACCAGAGGCAAGCCCAGGAGAAGACA